CACTTAAGGATCTAAATGAAATAAAATTATATAACTTAAAATAATGATTTCAATCGTATCATTATTTAATTATATATCTACATATTTATTACGAGAATTAACAAAATATATGAGAAAATAGAAAATTTATTATTAAAAAGAATAACGTAAAAATTGTGTAAAATAAAAGTAAATAAATAAGTACTGTAAATTCATGAAAGTTATCCAAATTACTACTTCCTACATTTTCACTTCATTTTTTCCTCTTTAAAAATCTCTGAAAAATGAAGTAGTCATAATTTTTGAAAAATTTACGATAGGGAATGAATCATCGTTGAAACGTATCAGCACACTTCTTCCTTTAAGTGTTTTTGCAAATAACAGCAATGGAACACTATTCCAGTAAAAACGGTAGTTGTGTAAACAAGAGAAAAAAAAGACAGATGATTTTTAACTTTTATCAAACTTAAGATATTTGACACACACACACATACACACAGACACACAACCTATATCAAATATCATCAAATTCATACAATTTCAGTTGTTGAAGAAGCTTTTTTATAAGTTTTAATTTATATCAATCATATGCTTTTTCTTGAATTCAAACTATTCTCGAAAGTTGATTTCTTCCAACCATCATTAGATTAATCTATCACATACACAGACCCACACATATATACACACACACATACACACATACATACACGCACACGAATTGCACTTAGTTTTTTTACTGTTTCGATTTTATTGCAATCATTTCTAAGAGAGAAGTATTTGTGAAGGTGATAGCCGAAATTATTCAACTTTTCTCCGTTTATTCATTTTGTTAACAACAAATTGATGTCACATAAGCTCAACACCGGCAAGCGAATTTTTAATGAAAAGGTATTTCGTTTCAAATTCTTTTTCCTAAATAATTCCATTCTTTATCTTTTTTGTTTTTGACCTTTCAAATGATAAAATATCTAATTGACCTACATGTTACTGAGAATTGATATTTTTTATAATAGCCCATTAAGATATAATTCGATTTATCAATGATCAATTTTTATTGTTATACTATTATTAGTTAATTCTCATAGATAAAATATTTTTTCAACCAAACTTAATTATTAATTTAGCAAAATAAACTTTGCATTGAATTATTATACTATTTGAAATATTTATTCATTAAGTGATTTATGACAGTTTGCATAACATATATATGTATGTAAGTATGCGTGTGTGTGTGTGTATGTGTATGTGTGTGTGTGTGTATGTGTATGTGTGTGTGTGTGTGTGTGTGTGCGTGTGTGTTAATTCTAAGAAACAAATATTTTAATTTAAAAATTGACATTATGTTTTTCTAAAAATTGTGTTTCATCACAATTTCCAACCTTTTTTTGTAAGAATTACCGGATTTTTTTGCATCATACTTACTGTTGTACTAAATTTTAATGAACAACTTTCATTTGTATTTTACATAATAATTAAAATCAGTTCAACATCTTATCAGTTGTCTTTAAATCCTATTGATAAATTATCAGAATATCACACAATAAATGGAATTTCCCAACAATAAAAAACACTGATATTTTTATGTTTTTATCACGTTGACATGCTCGGTTTGATACAATGATTATTTAAAAGAATTTTCATACCTTAACACATTTTTAACAGTTACTTCTCGTTATCTCATTATTTCTTTCCAACAATTGTTTAAAAGGATATTGCTAGTATGGATATTGATTTGTTGATTAATTTTTAATAAAATACTAAAATATATTTGAGACTTTTTATTACTGATATTTTATATTTTTTATTTTATCTCTTTCTCAGGATTCAAAATATGCGTATATTCCTGTCGATGTGAATGATGAGCCAACATTGATCGGTTACACTGGACGATATAAAAAGGTGACAAGATCATATATTCTGAATTTATTAATGTTTCAAATCATTTTAAAAAGTATCTTTGATTACTTGTTTTCTAATACAGTAATATTCCATTTTAAGTGACGACAATTATTATCTTATGTTTAAATAAATAAGACTGAAATTATGCGATACGTTAAGAAATACTTTAAAAATGTAGCATAGAAATTTGGAAATGTTTTGAATTAAATGAAAGAGAGTAAGAATCCTCTTGTAATATTTATCAAATTTCAGAATGAAATCCGTTCGAAACAAAGTTCCGATGGAAGTCAAAATACGATTTCGCATGTTACAAATAAGCATAAAATTGATCGTCCCAATCTGATTTATAATAGGCAAGTATTTTATTAATTAACCAATTGAGATTTAAATGAATCTTTCTTTTTTTTGTTTCACCATTTCTGCTTATTCTTTTTATTACCGTAGCATCAGAGCTTTTGAGAAATTCCAAAGGATGAAAGTAAGAAAGAAGAATGAACAAATGATATTGCTATGATTACCATTGTTGGCATATAATCCAGTAGTCCGGATAGGGTTCATAATTAGCGAGTCGTTTAAACAGATATATATCAAGAAAGAAACAGATGGTATCAGATACTTTTAACAGTAACTAACTAGTATTTATAAAGCAGTAGATAAATGTAGCAAAGCTGTAATTATGTGAGAATGGATAGAGACATATTAAGGAATAGTAATTGAATAATTCGTAAATTATTATTCAAATGATTGATTGAAATTAAAAAAAAGGAGTTGACAACTTTGAAAGAGTAGGAAAAAAGAATACGGGATGATTGAATTCTAGCAAAATTCCGTCTTCATTAAAGAACCAAAAAAAAGTCCTAAAATATAAAATTTTGTGTCGAACTTTTTATAGATAATTTTGATTATCAATTTTATTGTTTGATTTTAATTAAGACGTTTCTTCCAATAGAATTACTTGATGATAGATTGCTATTTGATGTAAAGTATTATAAATAATATGACAAAAACTTTTAGTGTTAATTATTTGAGAAATTTTTTCCTCTTTCATTAATATTTAAAAAAAGAAGCCATCATGTATTTCACTGGAGTGGTTTTCCTTCTTATCAGCAATGATTAGCAAAGAATTTGGCGAAAGGATAATGGAGCTGAAGTAAGATGGAAAATTTATAAATAAATATGCATGTAAAAAAGCACACAAATGTGCAACTCTGTGTTCATAGAATATATTAATAAGCATTAATTTCTATTACTAATTATAAAAATTATAAGTAATTTTCTCGGATTTTTAAAAAATAGACATTAAAATCATAAATTTTAAAAATTCCGTCCGTTAGATCTTGTCCTATCCTTTCAATCATTTGGATACAAAGCTATTGAACTTGATAACTTTGATAATAGCTCACATATTTTCTGACATATTAAACAGTGGATATCGTTAGTTTCCCGAAATTTGATGTCTGATTAAACATCATGAATAGTTAGATGTGTAAATGGAACTACATTCGAATAAAATATAATGAATTTCATTAAGCAATAATAGTGATGAAACGAAGAATTGTGGTAATAATAAGAATAATCGTAGCTTCTAAAATTTTTCAAAAATGGCGTTATTTCTTTACGGAGCATTTAGTGATAATTATTTCAATGATAATGATAGGAATAAAAATTAATAAAGATAATTTACTTGTATGTTTGATGGAAGTAATATTAGATCAGTTTTTCTAATGACTAGTTGACAAATGAAATGACAAAAGACTGTTTTTGTTCATTTACTCAAAAATTTTATAACTGCTTCAAAATTTACGTCGTTTGTTGTAAAATGATGTTAACCCAAATTTAATTTAACATTCCTGGATTTCCAATCTGGGCTGTTATGTCTATAATTCTTGAACCAGTTCTTCTTTATAATAACAATAAAAAATTGAAAAAAAGAAGTGCTGGAAAAAATTAAATATAGCGTTTTTCACATTGATGGTTCAGGTTTCAAAATTTTGTAAATTATTTGCGCTATATCAAGCAAACACTTATTATTTCATTCTATTGAAATTTGATCAGTCGACGACCATTATCGTTTCCCTCTCTCTTTTTTCTCTCTCCCTTTCTTTTTTTACCTAATTTTCAGAATATGATTCATAATCGTCATCAACAAATAACAAATATTTGGAAAGTAAATTTGGACTGAATTCATTTTGTTACACATTTCTTATTTTCTTTCCAGTTCAAATCCAGATTCCTTCTTCTACTTTTTTTCTTCATTTTCTAGATGATTCAAACAATGAACAAGTTTATTAGATTATAATGGAATTACATCATTTAGTCATATGGAAAGAGAGAGTATAAATGAAATTAAAAGAAAAAAATCTACGTTTTAAATTAAAAAATGAGAAAAAAAGGAAATAATGGAAATCGATCAACTCTTCCTCATACAACATTCATTGTGATTTTCTGATCGGATAAATATATGTTAAAGAAGAAAAAGAATGACAAATTTATTATATTTCGATCAAATTACTTGTAATTATTTACAACAAACATTTATTTATTTGCCTCTATTGCTGCAACAATAACAAAAACAATAACAACAACAACAACTATTGCTATTATTGCTGCAACAGTAACAACACTTACAATACTACTTGTAATTATTGCAACAAGCACTTATTTTTTGCTACTATTACTGCAACAGTAACAACAACAACAATGACATCAACTATTGCTACTGTTGCTGCAACAATAACGACACCTATCAGTACTAGAGCAAGAACTAGTTTTCACTAGTACTATTATTACATAAACCATTAGCGTTATTATGTTCATTGTTATTTCGAGTATTTTTCGTCTCCTCTTTATTATCCAGTAAAATTTCAGTTTTCGAATTATTCTACTTATATAAATCATAATAATGAAATTAGATTCATTTAAAACAAAATTCTGTAGCAGAATTAATTCAAATAATTAATACTTTGACGTAGTTGATTTACGTAATACGTGAAGGCATGATGAGCTAAATACGTGTTATACGAGATATGAAGCAGCTAATTTCCTGCAATGTTATAATATTCATCTTATGATTAAATTATTATTTGAATTAAACTTGCTAAATTGTAAAATTTTTATTTGAGATGAGTAAGCTGGAAAGTTGTATTGTTGGTGCAACGGTTGGGACAAATCACATCATACCATCTATTACTTTCGATAATATTAATCATTCCAATATGTATAAACGATCACGCGGTTTTCCGTTACCTATAACACCGAGTGATTCGTATACATCCAGTATCCAAGTTATTGGCACTAAAAATTCCAAAATAGAAACTGTTTCGTAAGTTTAGAAATTTGATTTGATTAAAATTTTAAAGTTTTAGCAATACTTAAATTTGAAAATATTTGACATTTTCAGCTGGACAACACTGCCACGAGGATGGGATGTTTTCCGTTCATTGCCATTGCCACCGGATAACCTGAGTCGAGGTAAAAGCAAAAATTATTTGATGCTATTAAATTAAATAGTTACAATCAGAAACTTGAAATGATGATCCATATTCAATTAACCCTTATCGATAGCAGATGGATATAATTCATAAAGTTCTAATTAAGTGTACAACTGGATAACATGATGGATTCTAAAAATATGAATTTTATTTTTTTAATTTCTGGAATTTGATTTGTATTACAAGTGATAAAAGAATTATTAATGTGATAAAGAAGATGACGAGAACTGATGAAACTGATTGTATACTTAATGAAATTAGATAGTCAGGATTTCTAAAGTTTTATTCGATCGAATAATTATTAAACTTAAGAATTTTTATCTAGTGAGTTGCGATTTGCCGCGTATGAGACAGGAAATTAACTAACAAATGAAATAATTATGATATGAAAAAGGAATGAAATTTAAAAATTTGCTGTTGAATTCGCTGTTGTATAATACTTTTATCGGCATAGTGTCATTTAATAGTATCATTGGAGTTATCACATTTTGTAATTTCCCAAAAATTCACCCTATTGGCCTTGCTAAATTTTCCAAAATAAAAAATTGACTTTGTATTAAAACGATTTCGAATAATTAGTTTAATTTAAAACAATCCAGGCTAAGTTATAAAAAATTGGCAAATTAGCACTACCAATCTTATGTCCTTGTTCATTCATTTCATTTTCCTTTTTGTTTTTGATATAATCCTTAAGATATCGAATAATATTTAAATTTAGCTTAATTGTTGATTATTAGAATTGGAATAATTTTCAGGCTTCTGGTACGATGTAAGCTTGCAAGTATTAAAAATAACCTGTTTTTGTGTCCTCTTCATTCTAACACTATTAAGTGCCATAATTGCAAAGGCAACATTTCTACTGATGACCTCAGCAATTGGTACCATCAAGATGAATCTGACCATTTGCAACGATAAAATCCCCGGTATGTTATTATAATCCAGCAAAGTATAATATATGATCTTTTTTTTTGGATCATTCAATTATCATTGATATTTATAATGAAGATTGAATAAAATTATAAATGAAGAAGAGGTACATAATCATGATACTGCTATAGGAGGATAAAATCATAATACCATTACTTATATTGATAGTATGTAAAATCTTTTTGTTATTATTATCAGTGATTCATAAGTGAGCAATAATAATTATCTTATATCATTAATATTAATTTATTAGAGTATTCAAAGTATGAAATAATTGATACTGTTAAGAATGATAAAATAATCAGTAATGAAATTTAAAAGTGAAAGATCGAATCTTTATGATAGTATAAAGTAATAATTTGCTACTATTCTTCTAGCTTTTCGCTTTTCAATATTAACAGTTAACTATTTTGAAAATTTTCGAATGCTTCGAGGAAAAAAACGATAGGTAACAAGCGATGTTGCAATTTAATTAATTAATGTATTCAATGAACTGTTTTTTATCTCTCGTTCAAACTATTGCTGTTCGAATACTTTGATGTGAATCCTTTTTCCTTTTTTTATTGTTTAACTGATGACTAATCTTATTTTCCAACCGATAATTATTCACCTATTCCAAACTATTTCCAGAACATGTTAGAGGAACCGGTTTACTTGTTTAATTGGTAAATGAAGTTTTCTATGTTAATTTGTAATGAATCTATAATTTACATGTGAAGGTGAAATTTCAAAATTCAATAAGGAGGGGGAATTTCAATAAAATTTTAATTCAATATACATTAAATAATAAATAAAATTAACGAGATTAATTCCACTTTCACAATCTTTTGTTGAAGATAATTTTAGTTTAACCTTTGTCAGTTGTGATGCCTAAAAAAAATTAATGCTCAAGCTTCTTATTCATTCTGTTGGCTAAAATTCTTGAAATTGTCAAATTACCGAAATTTGAACTGTCATCAGTGGAATTCGCTTTCATGTACATCTTTAACTGAACAAATGTGCAGGTGTTTGTTTTAATTTTTGGTAAAATATTTGGAAAAAAAGAAAAATTTCAGAAAGTCCTACTAATCAAGTTGAAGTATTACCAGTACATGTCGTAAAATGGGTTTGGGCAGTTTATATTTCGTTATGCATTCCGGAACTACAATGCTTCATCTGTTGCATTCATCGAGCTTTCTTCCGGAATGTCAAAAAGCCGACATTTGTACAATTTATTGCTGTAAGCAAATTTCGAGATTTAGCTTTTAATAAAAAGAAGAGTAAACTTTGACGATTGAAGAATTGATAATCCGTTTCTCTTAATTTCTCCCACAAAATTTCAATAATACCCCAAAAAATATCACTTATCACTTAACCTTTTCAATAGAGCTATTGGCAAATATATTCTTGCAATTTTACCTTATCATCATATCATTTATACGTTATTATCATATCAATCTCATTTTACACTTTATTATCTGTAGGTTTTTATTGTGGAAACTTTAAATGCCAGTGGTGTTGGTATATTAGCGCTTAAAATATTACCTAATTTGGATGCCATTGCTGGTCAGTTTATTTCAATGACATTTAGTTATCATTTAAAATGAAATCTTAGAAGGTGTAACAAATATTTCAAATTTAGTTTACTTTAGATTATTTAACAAATAATGTATTTGGAAAAATTTGCTGCGCAAAAAAAAATTATTTTATGACGTTACCATAGCAGTTAAGCAATTAATATAATTACTTGTAGGTGCAATGCTTACTAATTTTGCATGTTTCGTGCCAAGCATTTTGTTGCTATTAAGTCGTCGGCCAAATCGTTTAGCCATATTATTTATGGCCGCTGATTTTTTTTGCATAATTGTACAAATTGTCGCATTATGGGCGCTACCGGTAAGAATTCATATTTTTCATTTCTAATAAAAAAAAGGAAGTAAATTTTAAAATTAGAGTATGACAATACAGCGATTAATTTTTAATCTAAATTTTTAGTTAATTTGCCAATTTTCAAATGATATTATGTCAAAAAAACAAAGATTTCCTTATCGAATGAAATCTTTGATAATTTTATATTGTGACAAATATTTGACAAAAAAATTTAAAATTTAAGGAAATATTAGAAATGATTTATCAAAGAATTTAATTTTGCAGGATCTAAATGTATCATTTCAAAAATTTAAATTTATTTTACCATTATGTTTGATATTAATATCACTCGGTTGGTGGCAAAATTTTGTACACATTGAAAGTGCCTTAGCACCAATTCGAGCACTTGCACGATTTGCTGTAACGTTAAATGAACGGCGATCAAAAACTTATGTTTTGATATCTATTTGGAAATGTATTGTGTATTTACTTATGGTATTTTTAGTACTTACCAATAAGTAAGTTAAATTTTCTACTAATTATCTATTAATTTCTTAAAGTATTCCAGTAAATTTAGGTTTTACACATCTTAACACCTTATCTTTTGATCAATCTGTTAGCATACCTTTTGTTCGGTACTACGATCACATTAATTTCAAGTCAAATTGCTGGAGAAAATTTTTTAATTATAATTTAATGAACAATTAGCCCCGTAATAGAAAATAGCTTAATCTTATCTGCCATATACAACTAGTGTAAATTTCAGGAAATGAACTTATAATTTTAATAATTAAAACTTCTATTCACTCACTCTACTCAATTAGGTTATCGAAGTTATAATTTTTTTAAATGGTTGCTACAATCTCTTTTGCTTATGCTTTTGCTATCGGATAATATACTTTATAGTTTATTTAAAGCTAAAAAACTTTAATATCATTTAATGTTCATTGCTCCATTCACTTCTAAGCTTTTTATTAATGTTTACCGAGCTGAATCACGAAATTTGAAAAAAAAATTTAGCATATCGCCGAAAGATCTCTTCGAAAATGATCCATTTGGAGAAAAACTATTAACAATAACTGCCCGACATTTGAATCAAACTCAAATCAACAAATTTTATGATCGTATGGAAATGGAAATGGCTAATAATGGTTGGTCAATGCAGTAAATTAGGATTTTGTCAATAGTATAGCATTTAATTATTCTGGAATATCTGAAATAAATTAATGTTAAGATGATTTCAATTCCGAATACATGTACATCGAAACGGAAGTTTGTTTGTTAAAGCAAAAAAATAGATTTAGATACGGATGCTTATATAAAGTATGGTATGTGTTTTTTGCCCTACCACCTTATCCTCCAAATTTATTAGAACAATTAATTATTGTAACAGAAAATAGAGCTGTAGATATAAACAGTAGTTCCATCTTTAGAGAACGCCGAAGTTCCAACTACACCTACTTTGAATTTCGTGGGGATGCAAATGATGAAACCATCTATTATATTAAAAGATCATGGTAGCCGTAATCTAACCAATCAATGGAATAAGCGTAATTTTCGATTCTTTTCTGATCAGAGCCAATCGATACATCTAAAACAACCATTATCATCTCCATTATCACCAACAGTACAATCCTTTCCAATTCAAGAGATGAACAAACAGGATGATCACAGTATGATATCAACAGTTGACATCTTCAAATTTAACGAATCACCTGAGAATTCAATTAAAGAAGAATCTGTAAAATCTTTCAAAAGTCAAAAAAAGCGAACGATTAATAATGATGACGATGAATATGAAATGCCACCAAATACCTATAACGTATGCATAAGTAAAAAATTTAAATCAAATCAATCAATTTGACAAGCTATTCAAAACAGCACTAATTTCGTATAATGATAAATAGTACTAAGTGAATGCATTCCATTCGAATATTTGTCAATTTGATGCAAAAGGTATATTAATTAAATGAAACTATTTGATGATTCTTTTAAAATACTATTACATATATCCTTTTTCAGTATTCAGCTTCTGCTAATATCGGAAAATGTATCGTAGTTAGAAGATAGAAATAATTTTTTTGTTCAGCTAAAAATTGTCAAGAATTTCATTCGTTAATTTTAGATATACGATGATTATGTGGAATTAAATCAGTATACAACTCCGTTCGATGCTCTTTGGATTGTACTCATCCAGGCTATTGCTGTGATACTTACCTATCATACTTCAAAATTTGCTTGCAAAGTAATAAATTGCATTCTTTTTTCTTTCTTTCTTTCTTCTAATCTAAATTGTAAGTTTTTCTAATTAAAGATAGAACATTTCTTACAGATTGAATTAAAATTTTGTATTAAAATTTTCAATTTTTTTTTGAATTGTTAGGGATTGATTTTGTGAAATTAAATTGCAATTGTTGTTTTGTTTCATTGTATTTATATTGTTTTGTTATTTTAAATGCTACCTACGAAAGAATGCTTGCTTGACGAGTTAATATTGATTGATCAATATAGATTAATTGAAATTCGATGATTTCTGGAACTTATCGGTTAATTTACCTTCGTCTAATTCATTAATTGCATTTCAGGTAATGCTACAACGAACATGCTTTGCATTACCGGTGGCGCTTAGTGTTCCGGCAACTGTTGCTTTGTTATTCACAATGTGTACGAAACGGTATACTGATTCTTGTCACTCAACTAATTTTCTTCCTAGAGTAAGTTTTCCGGAATTTTTTATACTTTCGGAGATATTTTTTATTATTAAAATTTCTTTTCGTGGTTGAATAGAAATGTAAATTAAATCTAAAAGCAGTTTTTTTATCAAAGAATCCGATTGTTTGGGGAATAATTTTCGGAAAGATTTCGTTAATTTCCTTTTGAATTTTTCACATTAAATTTTTACAAAATTTTAGTAACTCAGTCTAGTCTGCCAGTCTAATTTTCATATTTTATCAGTTACATTATATAAAGCTTGAACTTTTCAAATATTCAGCGTGGTCTTTTAGGTAATACTTTTAGGAATTATTCTGGAAATGTGACACAGCAAAGAGTTTGTCGGAATTTTTCCTTTCACCATTGACACAAATTTGGCTTGCTGTTTTGATGGTGCAGTTTTGGATAACAATACACCTTTGGAGGCCACGTCAGGAAAGACTTGCCAAGACAGCTAAGTATGAATTTCAGCAAATTCCACAATTTTATAACAAAATAATAGACATGTATTTTAAGAGTGTTAGTGTTTGAGTGAAGAATATAATGTTTAGTTCTTTCTCTAAATAAATTTCCAAAAAAACTAAGTTTCAATAAGTTTCAAAAAACAAATTTCAAAAAAATCATATCTGTTAATGGCAACTTTGAAAATTTTTTCAATTAAACTTCAAATGAGTCAAACAGAGACATTTCAAAAGTTTCAGATACCTAAATTTTAAGCTTTTAGAAATTTTCATCTAATTACTGATTGTTTTAAAGATTGTTCATTCTTCCTTACAATAGCGCTCTATTCACTGATCAATGTTTGGCATTAAATCGACGATGTGATGATAAAACAAAAATTCGAACTGAGGTTATAATTCCATAAAATACTCATTTTTTTTGAGTGTACTGTCAGAGAGATAGAAAAACCATAAAAACTAAGCAAACTTTTTTTGGAAGCCAAAATTTTATAATTTTCAATGTTTCAGGATCTGGATTTCGATGCGGAAGAGTTGTCAACTACACGTGATATAAATATTGGATTAACGTATGCAAAGCCAATTGCATCACTTTCAAGTACTTCCACGAGTAAAGTAATCGAAACAGCTATGATAAAGTTCGTTTTACTATTAATTATTAAAAAAAGATGGTTGTTTAAAAACAAAATTATTAAGTATCCCAGCAGCTCATCACTGATTAGTTAAAAAAGAAAACTAATTATTTCAGTCAATGATTAGCCATAATTATTCAAACATTTTTCAAATGTTTGGATAGATTAAGCAATTCATTTAGTATCTCCTTCTCTAAGTTTTGACTTTTAATATCAATGCTAGTTCTATATTTTCTTAAGGGAAATGGCATCATCAGCAGATGCGGTGACAAAAATTTACGTTTGCGCAACAATGTGGCATGAAACAGCGATCGAGATGACTTGTATGTTGAAAAGTATCTTCCGTCTTGACGAGGATCAATGCGCCAGAAGAAACGCTCAGAAATATCTTAAAGTAATAAATTCACATAGAATTTTCTGATGATAGCACTGGCAGAGAAGTAAGTTTCACTTCCATTTGATATTACTTGATTCTATCTCATAATTTTAATTTCTATTTAAACGAAAAAATAAGCAATTTTTAAAGATCATAGATCCAGATTATTATGAATTCGAAGCGCACATATTTTTTGATGATGCTTTTGATATCAACGAATATGGTGAGCCGGTGATAAATAAATTTGTCCAACAACTCGTTGATAAAATTGATGAAGCAGCCAGGTTTTGTTGATCGATTAGTTTTTTTATTACTGATTAAAGTTAAAATATGTTTATTTGTTTTTTTTAATGTAAACTGACTGAAGTTTTGAAAATTGTAGAACAGATCCATTTTCAATTGACATGAACTTTTAATAAATTAAATTTTAGTGCGTTACATCAAACGCAAATGAGACTAAAACCACCGAAAAAAATTTCAACTCCATATGGTGGACGTTTGAGCTTTATTATGCCTGGCAAAAATAGACTAATGATACATTTGAAAGATAAACAAAAGATTCGACTTCGAAAGCGTTGGAGTCAGGTGCATACTTTTTTTGCATAATTTTTATATAATTGAAATTCTTTCAATTCGCATACCAAGCAAATCTTTTCGAATTCATTTCCTATAGTTAAGTTTATTTTGTAAAATTAGGCCTTCTGTGATCAGATTACGACGCCAGTTAATTATACATTATCGTGTCTTTTCAATTTCTTTGAATCTCTTTAGGATATATTTCAATTGTATTTTATATTTTAACTTCACATCTATTAATTTCAAATTATAATTTTGTTTTCAAACTGCATAATTTCTTCGAAATATATCATTCAAGGTGATGTACCTGTATTATTTACTTGGCTATCAGTTAATGATGAAGGTGGACGATGAAGTAAGGAAAGAAATAATTTCGGAGAATACATTCATTCTAACCTTAGATGGTGATGTCGACTTCTCGCCACAATGTGTTCATCTGCTTGTTGATTTGATGAAAAAAGATCGACGTCTTGGAGCAGCTTGTGGTCGAATACATCCACGTGGATCAGGTAATGGTTGTAGATAAAACTGACTGTTGAGAATTCCAACATTTCCAAGCAGTTCGAAAAATTTCCACAATTTTTTATTATTGTAGAGAAATGAACTTACAAGTAGTTTACAACTTAGAAGTAGTTTTAAAAATTTGCAAATATTTTTTCAATTCATTTTCTTCAAACTTTGCAGTTTTAGAATAGTTCGTTTTAGGTTTGATGATATGGTACCAAAAATTTGAATATGCAATTGGTCATTGGTTACAGAAAGCAACAGAACATATGATCGGTTGCGTACTTTGTTCACCCGGTTGCTTCTCGTTGTTCCGATCATTGGCTCTAATGGATGATAATGTTACCAGAAGATATGCATCAAAGGTTGTGGTACTATTTATAGGATTTTTTTTTTGAATTCCACAAGAAATATTGATTAACTATGATGGTAAAATCATTTTTATTTTCTAATATTTGTTACTGGTCATTTTGCAAACATTAATTACGATCTCTCAAATTGTATCATTTAAGGCTGAAAATCCGGTTGATTTTATTCAATATGATCAGGGTGAAGATCGTTGGCTATGTACTTTACTTTTGCAGCGAGGTTACCGGTAAGTTTTGCACTAATTATATTTCATTATAATATGTTATCACAATTGACTGATAAGAAATGGTAAAAACTTTGGATTTGCATTTTTATTCAGTCTTAAGTACTTTGTTTTCATATCCATAGTGAATTGATTTGAGTCGATTTTTTGAATCATTGACTTAAAGTTTTGCATATTTTTTGAAACATCCTCTCCACAGGGTTGAGTATTGTGCAGCATCAGATGCTCTAACTTATGCACCAGAAGGTTTCAATGAATTTTTCAATCAGCGCCGTCGCTGGATACCTTCAACATTAGCAAATATTATCGATCTGTTGCAAGATTATAAAAATGTTATCAATGTGAACGAATCAATTTCCATTTGGTAACGATTTATTGTTTTGATAGGAAAAAATTTCAATTTTTTTCTTTGAAATTTCAGTTTTTTCAAAATTTCATAATTTCTCCAACAGAACGATATAATTACGTTTTTACATTTAAAATGCTGAAATTTTAATTTTAATCTTGACCGATTCCAAGTATTTCTTTCTTTCTCATCCTCTCTTTCTTCTCTCTCCCTTTCTTTTCTCTTACAAAAATTCTTCTTTTACAATGATACTTATGATATGATAAGAATGTTAATCCCTTTTTTTTTAAGAATATTATTTTAGGTATATATTATATCAATGCATAATGCTAATCTCATCAATTCTTGGCCCAGGGACAATCTTCCTGATGGTTGTTGGTGCCTTATCAATATCATTTAACATTGATACCTCTTTATCATTGTTTATTGTCACCGTACCAGTTGCAACATTTTGCACTATGTGTTTCATTAGTGATTCAGAAAAACAGGTTCAATTGTTGGATTTTTGTAATCCATCCATTTAATTAACTTTCATTTAAACTAATTAATGCATTTATTGGCATTTCTTATGTTTAGAAAAAATTTCTAGTTTTTTCAATTCATAAAAATCAGAAAGATTATAAATTATTTGATGATCAACTGCTTTAACGATTTTCATATCACTAAGCGATAGGATCAATGAATCGAAGTTTTCGCTTAGAATTTTCTTCTACTTGTTTTCGAATTTGATGAAATAAAAAAAATCACAGGTCCTATTACATCTAAACTTTGTGTATAATTATTTTTAATTAATTCAATAATAATTTAATTTACCATTTTTTCAGCTAATAGCGGCACAACTTATCGGCGCACTATTTGCTATGCTAATGACAGCTGTAATTGTTGGAACAATGATACAAATGCAAAAAGATGGCATTATGTCACCACATTCCATATTCTTACTTGTCGTCATTGGAAGGTATTTTTGATTTTATTAAGTTTCGAAATTTTCTAAATTCTACTGGAACTTATGGTAAATTATTTATAATCATGCTTAAATTTAAAGAAATTACGGTAAAATATTAACAAATATCATTTCCCTTTAGTTTCATCATCGCGGCTGTATTACATCCATTGGAATTTACTTGCATAACACCGGGAATTTTATACTTCTTGGCAATACCATGCATGTATATGTTACTCCCAATCTATAGCTTATGCAATTTGAATAATGTTGCTTGGGGGACACGAGAAAATCCAAAAGGTTGACATTTAAATTTTAAATTCCAAATATCAAAAATTATGAAAAATTATGATTTTTCAAAAAATTATTTATTTCTCCCCCAGAAATTATACAAAAGAAGAACTAAATTGATAATTCAATTCTTATAGAAATAACTGAAATAAGTTTAAATGAAACCGAATTATCTATCCCAAAAAATGTGATAAGATTTCAGAAGAAGGAAAAGATCCTACAAGAGAGAAATGCGGCAAGCATATTGACCTTATCAGTAATAATCCTACTAATGAGGTAAATTTTTTTTATCGAAAAAATTTTAAGATATGATATTTAATTGTAATGCTATTTTCGTACATGTAATATGAATTTTGAAAATTTTTGCAGATTCAGTTATACAAACTTTTTTTTCTTTTGTATCAAATTATGAATAAAATTGAAAATCAATCAACCATATATAGTAGTTTCAGCTCTCTTGATGTCCAAAAATTTTAATATTGTTTGATTGATTGCCATTCATTCATTATAATTATTATTGTTATTATAGTCATTTGTAATTATAGTAATTATTATCATTATTAACAGTACTACTGTCATTATTATCATTATTATTCCTATTTTTATCATTATTACTATTTAATATTGTTAGTATTGTTATTATTGGTTATTATTATTGCTGTATTATTATTACCATTATTGGTATTAATTATTTTTATTTATTATTAATCATTTGTTAAATATTACATTCAATACATATTTAATATATTACTTTGATTAATAATCTTTAGTTTTTGTTGAAATCACTGAATGAAATTATTTATATTGTTAGAAAAAATTATTCAACTTTTTCTGCAGGCGGATGGTGAAATATCGGTTGGTTGTGGACCAGCATGCCGTCTAATATGTTGTTTGAGGGATAAATCAACGGAAATAGCGCAGGTATGTCCAAATAAATGCTTTATGCAATTTGAAACAAAATGAAAAGATAAAATTGGAAGTTCAGAAATAATTTTAATTTCGAAAAGTTGCTACAGATTTGGCAATTGAATGGAAAAATAAATGAAATGATGGATAAATTGGATCGAATTGAACGGCAACCAACAGGAATATTACCTCGAACGGTTTATACAACAGCACCAGCAAACAATTCCGAATCACCGAAATGGGAGGATAATTCAATTAAGGAAGATCAGGTAAAGAAAATTTATTTTCAACAAATTTGAATTATTTCTAATTCGTAAATAATATATGCAGAATTATTAGAGCTAATTCATTACTAAGTATAATATCAATGATTTTATCCATGTTCAATTAAATTACTGAACGAATAACAATTAATTGTTGTTTAGAAATGATTGTACTTATGATGCATTAATTTAATTTGAACTTTTAAATGTGATTTAAATTTTTTAGGCAGAAATAGAAGATGATCGTGATATAACTAATCAATCAGCTTTTGTTATGCGTAATCGTAAATGGAATTCCAAAATGAGCGAAGTATGGTTGAATGACAAATGTATTCAAAGAGCGGAGAAAGATTCGTTGGATCCGGATGAGGAAATTTTTTGGAATGATGTTATCAGCAAATATCTAGCACCAATTATTCATGATCAGTTAGAGCAAAAGCATATCAGAGCCGGTCTTGTGCTATTAAGAAATAAGGTTAAAATAATTGTTTTAGTTTGGATAGAAAAGAATGATATTGATTAATTGGTTTTTTTTTTTCGAAAATTGCTTATTAGTAAACTGATTTCTTTGCTTTATTTCAACTGGAAGAAGGGAGGAAGAGAGAGAGAAATCAAATGATTCATATTTTGTCATGTTTCTTTTTTGATGCTTATACAGTTTAATTGAAAGAGGTAAGGATTATCACCTTCCTATGTAAACCAATCCCCTTATCACTTTTTTAAGTCAGAAATTGTTACCTTTTAGTTTTTAGCAAATGATTTTTTTTTGTTTAGACATAATCATTTAGCAAAATGATTAATAATCTTTACCTCTTTCAATTAAATGATTTCCATATGATTATGTCTAAACAAGAGAAATCATTTTATATTTTTTATTACTTCACAAGTATACGTTTTAAGCAAAAATATAATTAATTACATTTAGGATTTTTATTTATCACTGAATCACATTGATAATATAATCAACAAGTAATTGAAATTTTTTAAAAAATTTTAGCTATTTCTCGTTTTTTCCCTTTAGGTTTGTTCTGGATTTTTCATGGTAAATACCGTATTTATCATCACTGTGCTTTTGCTACAACTACAAAAAAATTGCATTCATATCGAATGGCCATTAGGCCCACGTTATAATCATACAGTCATTCCGTGCAAAACGGATATTCGGGAACCAATCTGGATGGTTACACGACTACAACTGGAGCCAATCGGACTTGTCTTTCTACTTTTCTTCATGTCCATTCTTATTATTCAGGTTACTACTGGGAATGAATTTTTGCTTTCCTTTATCATATTATATTTTTGTTTATTTAATTCTACTTTTCTATTTCGATTTCGCTTTATTTCTGTCTTTTTTTAATTGTTATAATCTTTATTTTATCCTTTCTTGACATGATTTCTTTCTTACTTTATTTTATTTTAGTAAAATATTTCTTACTTCATACTTCCTCTCTTCATCTTACATACTTTATCAATTCTTTCTTGTTTTCCTTTTCAAATAATTTTTCTAAAACAAACTTTTTTTAACTCATTATTTTACGTGAACTCTACGTGAATCTTCTTTTAGAGGAGTGATTTTCTTTGCAGTTCATAGGAATGTTATTACATCGTTTTGGTACTATGGCACATATAATAGCGTCGACACAACTATTTTGTTGGCGTAAACGTGTAGATCGTTTGACGGAAGATGAATTGGTTGTGCAAAATGCGGTTGAAATAGCACGCGAACTACAAGCCATTCGCGGAGTTGACGAACCCGATGAAAATGCTCCATCGGTACATAATTTATTATGAAGTTTAGCATCATGGAATAATTGTTTTTGATTTGAGAATGCTTTTTATAATTTGATTTCTCATTTTTAATTATTTTCCACTTGTTTGCTGCATTTTTTTGAAAATTGCAATTGTATTTAAGAATGATATACGAAATTGAAAGCTTTGTTTTGTTTCTTCCTTTTAAGAAATGATTTTAGGAAGAGCAAGCGATCTCACGTCGAAATATTGTTCGCAATTTGGAATCTTCCAAGCGTTCAATGTATCGACCAAAGACGGAAACACTTGACGCCGCATTCAAGAAACGTTTCTTTGCACTGTCAAGTAACAAAGCAATTGATCGTTCCAGTAGTGAAAGGCGTTTGACGTTGCGTCGAGATACAATTCGTGCTATCGAACGACGTCGGAATTCGATTTTCGGAAATCAGCAACCAAATGAGGCAACTTTGTTAATAAATTGATAGAGATAGAGTCTTTTGGAAAAATAAAAATTGATAGAGATAGAGTCTTTTGGAAATTTAATAATTTGAGCATATCGTATTCAATTACTTCTTTTATTTCTTTTACTTCGAAATTGAAAAAAAAACGATAAGAATCTAATTTTACAATTTTTAAATTTAAAAATTTATGGTTAATTCGCTACCAATTTCATTTGTCAGTAGAATTTTCATTTGAATTGTTGGGAGAAATTTGCTATGTGACTTTCATATCATGGCTATCTACAAGCTATTTACTATAAGGATGAGGCAACATCACTGGTAGACGATCGACCATCCTTATCAACTGACGAAAATCGTCATGCAACCCGACGAGGCAATCTTCTGCATTTATTCGACTATCCAATAAACGACTCTGAAAATAAAAAATAGTTTGCTCATAAAAAACTTCCATGTTTTTCTTACTTTTTTGGCCATTTTTATATTGTTTATATGTTTTTCGCTTATATAATTCATTCATAATTTCCGACTTTTCCTAATAATTTATCTGTTTTTCCTTTTTCAATGATAATTTTATAGTACGAGAAAATGCTGTGATAGAGTTTCGTTTTCTTTTAGATGTGGAGACATAATCTCGACTAATAAATGATAAAAGAATGATAAGCGAGGAATGAAACTAAATATTTTGTTCCCTTCTACTAAAACTGCAGATGTTATATATAACATATAAGTAAATAAGAAAATAGCTGTCCGATTGAAATAGATTGTAGATGAAATGATAAAGAATAGGCAAAATTATCATAACCAAAATTGATATGAAATTAAATCTTGATCTGAAAAATTTAAGGTAATTTTTCAAGGAGTGATCTTCTCCTTTTTTCACTTCGTAAATTGGCTGCTTAAAGCCTATTTTTTAAAGAACAGATTTATCGATTTATTCGACAATATAGCAGAAATTTTCCAGAAAACCGATAATATCGAAGTTATATAATTGTAATAGACGAATGTTTTACAAATATTTATTTTAAAAAAGGCTTGAAAATAATGCAAAATGCTTAAGAGCAATTGTTTGAATAAATTGTTATATAATTCAAATTTGAGAATGGAACGATCAATTTTAAGCTAAATTATACTGAAAGCCACTATTTCTATAATACGGTACATTATACAATAATTATATACATTATATCTTACGTATATTATAGTTACAATACCTTATACGATGGTTATCGCTTTTTGCTGCTTTATCATTTTGATATGATAAAATATGGAACAACAAAATAATAACGCATGTACGCAAACTATCATATTTTTCCAGGAAATCTTATGAAATATTGCGGAACAAATCCGTTAACCTGTTATAAAAAGAGAGCTCTACTGAATGAAATTCGACTTTACTGATGATTCGTCCAATTTTTTAATCTGTTTTGTTATATAAGCAAGTAAATGAAATTTTGACAGTTCTGAAAAGTCATCGTAAAATAGTCATCTAATATTAATCAATGCAAAATATTTTCCTTATTATTCTTATCGTTTCATGCCATTCTTTTAATGTCCAATATTTGATTAATATCGTCAGCGGATATGCTTAACGAATGTTTCATAATTTTAAAATTATTAATTTTATTTTCGCTTTCAAATTTGCATTTAATATCGTTTTATATACCATAAAATTAATTGTTGGGAAATTTGTTCATATAAAGTCTTTTCAGTATATATTATTTTTGAGCAAGAATAATGACAACAATAGCATGCACTTAGAAATCTTCGGACAAGTTATAAAAATTAGTGATAAAATATACTACAAGATGGTTTATATTATACCTGTAAATGTTGCAGCAAATTAAACTTCTTTGTTGTATAAAAATTGCGATATTTGATTTTGTTTGATTTTGATATTGGATAGACAGTTAGTTATAAATTAAATAAATATAAAATTGAATGGAAAAAAATTTGGAATAGTAATTTTGCATTTTACAAATCAAAAATTAGCATTAATTAATTTAATCATTTTCAATCACTCACTCGAAAGTTTGCATAATTTATACTTACAGTTACATTTAAAATTTTCACAATCATTCATTCTTAATTAAAATCGTTTATCAAAAATATTTATGCTAATTAATGAATTAAAGTACTTCTCGTGCAACATAAACGTCGTAAAAATGTTTGATTTATTATTGTTATGTTTTTAGAGTTAGAGAAAACGGGCGATCTTCCAATAAATTGCTCTTTTTTTCCGCTTTCATTTTACGATATAAAATAAACTAAAAGAAAATCAAATTGCTTCCAAAGAATCTTATCAGTGAGAAATTTATTAAATTAAAAAAATTCCAATTTAAAGAAGAAATTTAAAAAAAAATTTTTTTAGAATAATTTAACTTATACTTCTATCTAACAGTTCTCATAGCAAAATTTCATTTCTAAAACTTATCGTTTTTAAAAATTGATATTTATTCTTTCAAAAGAGAAAATTTCAATAATTAAGAATTGTTGACTAATTTGCAATTGAAATAAATGAGAAATGCAAAAAGAATTGGAGAGAAAAGAAAATGAAAAGAATGCAAGGTTTAGTAAGACAACATCTCTTAATGATGATGATAAGAGTGTTGAACAAGAAGGTAATTTAATTTAATTTTTTTAAATGGAATCCTTTAATTTTAGATAGTAATGAATAGTTATCAGAGCGATATAATTTACATTTTATAATATCTGATGTTTCAATATATATTTCAATCATTTATTTATTTGTAGTTCAGTTAAAATATTTCAATTCAGTGATTTTTGCACAATGTATTTTCGTAATTCATTATGTATGAATTGATGATCATAGTTTAAAAAAGGTTAAAAGAGAAAAAATTTAATTTTCAGAAAGTATTGGAGAGAAAAAAGGAACACAAAAATCGTTGAGAACTTATCAACCGGAACATTTGAAAACATTTATTTGTTTTATAGCACTACTTTTATCATTATTATTAAATCAACTTGTAATTTGTTTAGCGCATGATATTACCAGTAGGTTTGGATTCAAATGTTTCCATTAATTGATTTAAAATCTTTAAATGCCATATTTTTTATTTGAAATCAATAAATATCCATCATAATACATTGACTGATCTAAATAATTTCAATTATATTAGTGGAAGATATAAATTTTGGATTCTAAAATTGAAGCAGTTAAATAAATCCTTTCAGAAATGCTTTACCGGATTTGGTATTTGCAATAATACCGGAGCAAGATTGGGCTTTAGCTGTTGGGGATATGCTAATTTGTATCGCAGGTGTTTTTGCTCTCGGATTTATCGCTGTATTTCATCGATATCGATTTATTGTCTTACGTCGATTGATATTTACTATAACTGTATTGTATACGTTCCGTGCCATTTGCTTAGCTGTTACTCATGTCCCGGCAAGTTACGAAGATAATCACCGGTAAGTTTATTAGCTCCTAATTTATAGCCTTATCGGTTATTTTTCAATATTTATCCCACATTGTAATTACACTGTAATTACTTTAAAAAAAAAACAATAGACTATGTCGGGAATTTATCGAACTAATTGCTCACAATGTGTTAATTTAAAAATTTAACTAATTCAAAATTTATCAAAAATAAATTCTTCCAGTTTTTTTAATTCTATTAATTCCACTTTGTTACTCCAGTAATTTATCATCCATAAATTATTCTTAATAATTAGTGATCAATACAATACTAATGAGTTAATTACTCTTCTACATTATAAAAACGATTTTCTTTAATGAGTTGCACGACTAATTATTGCATGCCTTCTAAAATCATCGACGACATTTCTAAACTTTTTTCACTAACAAAATTTTTTGTATCATAAATTTATATCATAATTTAAAATTTTGAATTTTGCAGTAAATGTGTAAAACCGGATAATCAAGCAACAATATTAAGTGTTCTGAAACGACTCGCACAACACTTTTATAAGGTTTCATTTTTTTTAAAATATTTTTCAAAGACTTAACAACGAATAAAAAGCTAAAGCAATCATTTTCATTTATGCAAAATATAAATTTAAAATATGATGCATTTTTTTTACCACTTGTTAACTTTTAACCATATAAGGTATAGGTATATATATTAAATAGAGCATAGCTTATGATTGGTTGATACTTTTGAGTCAGATATTAAATGCTCTGTCAAACAAATATACAATAAATAAATAAGTATACTTTCACAATGTAATAGAAATGAAATGATAAGTGAGATTGCCAAAATGAAGCAGCAAAACTAATAAATATGATTCGTTGCAAATCGTTGGAAAATAATTTAAATTAAAATTCAATAAAGTAAATACAAAATTACGTCTATACTATAGTCATAAATTTTTATTCATAAATATTATGCATTTTTTTTTCATTTTTCTGATCTTAACAGTTTTCCTTCTTTTTTTTTTGTTTGCTTTTCTTTCTATTAAATCAATTCTGAACTCTGAACCTTGCCTGATATTAATATTGGCTAAGTAGTATTCGATATATTAATATTGATTAAGTAGTATTCGATATATTGATATTGATTAAATAGTATTCGATTACGAAATAACTGTAGAGCAATTACTTTGTGGTTTTTAAGTGCTTATTTTAGATTTTGTTAGAAATGAGTTCTTTTTCAAATCTTAAAATAACTCTCTAGCCAAGTTCTTTTCTTTTCAAGTTCTCTTTCAAGTCTTGAAATAACTCTTCAGCATTTCTTGTTTTAGATGGAAAAGGAATGAAGTAGAAGATTGAAATTTTCTTAACTATCATTTATTTTGAATTTATAACGTACTTATTTCAATTGGTGTAATATTAATTAATTAATATCTTGGATCTTAATTTGATGTATAAGATGAAATATCCATTAATTAAAAAAAAATCCATTTTTTATCGGCAAACATTTTTATGGGAAAATATTTTGAATACCTTAAAAAATCATATTTCTAAAGGCGTAATCATACAATGTTACTGTTAATTACGATCATTAAATCATTGAAATTCTTTCCTTATAAGCAATTAGAACGAATATTTGTAAGATTTTATAATTTCACAAATTTAGAACTTCAACTCTTTTTTTAGGAACCAAAATTTCAAATCGTTTTCAGAATTAGAAAGAAGAATAGCTAAAAATTTTTGATGAGAAAGTAAAAATAAATGCAATCGTTTAAAGTTTGATAAAATAATTGTTAATTTCAAAAGCGTAGGAATTTTTGAATTTCTTCGATTAAGAGATCATGAAGAAAGAATGAAAATGTTTTAGCTAGGCCTACAGGTCAGTGAAAATGGTAAACTGATCTGTGGTGATCTCTTCTTTTCCGGACATACAATATTTGTCTCCACAACAACATTCTATTTCAATCATTATTCACCACATTCCATTTGGCCATTACGGTTTATTTTGATTTAGGACTTAAAATTTAATCGAAGAAATTTTAAACATTAATGGCATCGAAATTTAATTTAATTTTCTTTTAAATTTTGAATTGGAATTTTCTTTTTAAAGCATTGGATGTTTATGCAAAGTTTTTTTTCCATCGTTTAGATGGTTCTTAATATTGATGTGCACTGGAGGTATGATTTGCTTATCAATATCACGAACACACTATAGTGTCGATGTGTTAATTGCTTACTGGTTATCCAGTTTTCTCTTCAGGTGAAAAATCTCTTCATCGTATAGTGTTTTAATTTAAAGCTTCTGAATATTCATTAGAAATTCAGAAGGATGAAGAAGCATTCTATCTACTTTATTCTCCTGACATGGGTCGGAATTCCTTAGAGGTCGAACTTGATAACCAACTTATTTTCTGATTTGTTTTCAAAGCAGTACCTTTACTTAGTGATTTGAATTGAATTAAATTTGAATACTTGTTATATGTTAAAGCAACATGTAAGTTTTCTTCTATCTTTTATAAATATTATTAATATGAATATCAAAATATGTAATGTGAAAATTTTTATTTCAGTCTTTACCATTCATTCGTTCTGCTACCACATAATGTACGTATCCGAACACGTGCCTATCGTCGTTTGCTATTATTTTGGACGATGTACGAATTGGAAGTGAATGTACCGTCCGGACGTTTAATAAATGAAGTAGAATGGCCATTACCTTGGCCGAAATGTTTGAAACGATGTGTCAGCAATTGGAATAGACGAGATGTAAAAACAATAGCAGGTTCTATGGCAGAGCAATTAAATGCGCATCATGTGAAGACACATTTGTGACAAACCACTCACATGACTTGTTTTGTTTTCAAAAGTAGGGAATAAATTTTACTGTTAAATGTGATCTTCGTAATAGTAGTATGCAAGTAATAACAATTGCATCAGAATGTTATTGTTTTGAGTTTGAATCATTATGTTAGCTTATTCACTAAATAGAGTAGAAAGTTTAAAATGATTATAAAATTAAAGGCTTAATAAAATCGATTTGTGATACAATTACTCTTTCATAAAAAATGTCGAAGAAGTGTTGTCAGATAGATAGTAAGCTAATCAAATAGTATCACTATTTACACTCTATCTGATAACAGTTTTTTTCTTTTTATATTATTAATGCAATAAACAGCCAAGCATGCTAGTCTAATATTTTTTTCTAGATTTTTTTCCACTTATTGGTTCGGACATTCCAGGATTGCTTCAAGTTGCAAGCCAATAAATTTAGGCTTATTCGAGATAAGCAATTCTTTTGGCGCTTCAAATTCGACCTACAATATCAATTAAGAACAAAATATTTTAAAAACAATTTCCGAAAATATTTTAAAAGCAATTTCCAAAAATTACAAATTATTCTGATGCTACTTTAGATGATGCAAATTTTCATGTTTTGTCGATTGTAAAAGGAAGAAAAACATTACGATGAATGAATAATGGCGAATTCCGTTTTCATCCGGTTCAGCTGCTGGAAGTTCAATTTGACGGAATGCTTCTGTAATGTATTACAATGATTCTGTAATGTATTGTTTCTGCAAATGTACTGTTTTGTTGTAATATTTTTGAATATATTGTAAATAATTTAATATAAGAATAGAAGATTTTTGTAGTTTTTTTCTCTTTTTCAATTTAGTTGGTTTTTTTTGGGCTCAACTTATTCCATATAGTTACTGAAACATTTTAAACAAAAATATTTATAGAGTTTACCAAATTTCAACGATTCATCTGAATCAATATTTGGATCACCAGCAGTTGTATGTGTTATTTTAAGCTCATTGTGTTGAGCTGCGGTATCATTGATCATTTCCACCTTATCTCTAGAAAAGAAGGTTGTAAAATCTTGAGATTATGAGTTGATAGTTGCAAACGGCTATTAATTATCTATAGATTGATTACGAAATCAATCATTATGAAACAAATTATGAAATCAATCTATGGATAATTAATAGTTACGGAATCAATCTGTAGATAATTAATAGCTGTTTACAACTATCAACTTGTAATCTCAAGACTTTGAATTTAATTTTAAATTTTTGCCTTAAATTTTCTTCAAATAAAACTTCGCATAATAGTTTCTGCAGTGAAATGATAAGGGAAAAGATAACCTGAGCGAATGAATTGCTGAATTTGGAGCAATCAATCTTTCAATATGATCAACAATATTAAAGTCGCAGGAAGGTCGCAATTTACTGAGTATGTTCTTTGCAAACTGAAAAATTTTATCAGACAGGGAATCACTATTTTATTATCATTACATGATATTCTTTTTTCTATTCTCTCATCCTATTCTATTTTGTTCAATTGTCCTATCTTCTTGAAGTATTGAAATGAATCTACCGCATGACGTTGATTATCACTGCCGCACCACAATTTGATTGCTTGCGCTGCTGATTCAGCTGTTGACTGCTTTTCATGTTTATCGATAGTGGAAGAATGCTGAAAATCTAATGTTTCAATCTTCTTCGTAAGTGCATGCTATAATAATTCCCATCAAACTATTCATCTAACTCAAAAAAAAAATCTGATTTTTGATAGTAAGAATAACGTAAGAATAAGTAAGGATAAAGTTATCCTGGAACACTGGTACAAGATCATATCTAGCTTAAAAGCTACGTTATGTCGATGATAGACAAATTATGCTCGTTCAATTAAACGATCATTGAAATCCTGTCAAATCTATTTTGAGCACGAATATCGATTTGTATAATTAACATTTCACATTGGTTGACATTTTATAATTTCAACCGAAAAGCATACCTCATAAATAAAAAGAGAAATGAAGAATTCGAAACTTGAATCATTAATAGCGAGAAAGCTATTTTGCTTGATCACTTCATCGAACTTACCCAAGGATTGCTATAATGATATAAATGTGGTGATCTAAATTTCAAATTGATAAGTTAAACTTCGTTGTGGAAGCGGAAATATTTAAAATAACCTTTACGACATGTTTTGCTGTATCTTTTTCCAAATTACACGTAGCGACATTAATAGCAAAGGGTGCACTTTCCGGTTGAGCGGCCAATATGCAAAGTTGTTCGCTGATTGCTCTACGCATAGTCCACATTTCGAGTGCATTTGCTGCTGCTAAGGCGCTAATGATCTTTAAAAAGAAAAATTATTTAACTCGAATTGAAATCTAAACTTGAAATTTCAAATTTGAACTTCCAAAAATTAGATTTTTCCAAGATTTACTTGATTAAGTGGTATTTCGGCATATCCATTTGCAAATGAAATTGCAATTGCTAAACCGATCCCATCAAAGCACGGCTCTTTTTCTTTTAAATCGTTAAGTACAATCACTTTTTTCTTCTCTAAATGGTTTCCCAGGAAGATTAAATATGATGAAATTTGATAAAGTTTTTAAAATTTTAGCTTCAATTTCAGGAAAGTATGAAAATTTCAACAGCTGTGTAAAAACAAAAGGTTCTACCAGCTAATGTGCCAACGATGAGATTTCCTAATGGATTTTGTTTGGGTAAAAAAATAGAAATTTGAATTCCTATTTTAGAAGTTTGAAATGAAACTAATTTTAATTCTCTTCAACTACTTACTTCTGATATATTCACCTTTAATGCATTTGAAAATTTCCAGACGAATGATAAAGGAAAGCTCAAAAATTAGGCGAATAGAGTAAGTTTTCTTTTAAACTTCCAAATAAAGAGTAATTAAATAACAAATTACTCTTTTTTTGTAAACAAAATAAACTAATTAAATTAAATAATAAAAAGTTTGAATAATAAAGTAAAATAATTAAATTAAATAACAAATTACTTCTCTAGTATAAAGAGAATAATTTATTATTTAATTTAATTAGTTTTCAAACAGTGAAAAATTCGAAAAACAATGAATGTTACCAATAAGCATTCGTTTGAGAAAATTAGAAGTTGCAATCATCCGTTCTTCGTTAATTAAAAATTCAGTATCATCCAATTTCAGGATTCGTTTATTGCTTTGCATAGTTACCTTAATTAGCTGGAAAGAAAAAAAAGGAAAAATTTTGCTAAAACTTTTTTCGCCAAAAAAAATTGCCTTCTATTAGACAAAAAAAGATTACGAATGAAGAGTAATCGTAAGATTACGCCTCAGATTCTATCAAATTTTTCAAACATCGACGGACTTCCAGGTCGGGGAAATTTCGTAAAATCCGCAAAACCTTCGGATTGCTGATGACAATGCAGTTGTTTTTATGACCTTTGCCATCCTTTGATGACGCCATATGAAATGATTGTAGCAAACTCTTACCAATGAACCAATTGGCAAGTTTTATTTCAATTTATTCTCTGGCAAAATTAAAATTAAACATCTTAATGTCTCATAGACAAATTTAAAGCTGAAATGCAAAATTTGCATAGCGCGTCAAATTTGCAAATTGCTCGCTATTGTCAACTTGGAGAATTGTTTACGTTTACGTGCGTCTAGGCGATTGGGTGTGATGGGGAAAGCGATGAATTGGGGTTTCCCAAAGTTTCCAGCTGTCCTTTCATTGGATTTAACAACAGTGAAGAATTTGTCTATGATTCACTGTTCCTATGAATCAGCTTCTTTTTTAATTTGCAACGGTTGAAATTCAAGATTTTATGCTCTTGGAATTTTTATACTGAGCAAATTGTATTTACCAGGTATTTTCTCCTTCTCTCTTTTTTGGGAGATTTCTGAACATTTCTCAGAATCTCCTTAATCAACATCTCGGGGAAACCTTCTGTAAGAAAGATGTTCTGCATTAAATGTTGAAAGATTTGGTCTGTTAAATATTCATCAGTGACACTTTACACTAAAGTATAGGTAAGTCAGTGGAGCGGTTTAATAGTTAGCAGTGTATGCTATTCGAGTAAGATTTGCAAAAATACTACCGCAGCCAAAAAGAATCACTGCGCAGGATGAAACCATTTTGCATTTTTGTAATTCTTCAGACGGAATATTTCAGAAGCAAGATGGATTTTCTGTTTGGCCGAAAAAAGACACCCGCTGAAATGTTGCGGCAAAATCAAAGAGCGTTAAATAAAGCAATGCGTGAATTGGACCGAGAACGATCACGTCTCGAAATGCAGGAAAAGAAAATTATCGGTGATATTAAAAAGATGGCCAAAATGAATCAAATGGTATGGGATACGTTTTAATATTTTATCACATAATTCTAATATGTGGCAACTAAATAGGCCATGAAATCTTTCCATAACTACTATGGAGGTAATCCAGCGCTTAAAGTCTGTTTGTTTAAAATTTAAAATTGAAGATTCAAAATCGAAGACGACAACTGCTACGCCATGTAATGATGAAGGACTAGATAGATAGAATAGTGTAATTTTTTGAGTATGGTTTTATTGGCTAATACTTTGTTACATATCCATGCAAGCTATATGTTTTTGATTTAAAATGCCATACACTTTTACAGGATTCCGTGAAAATTATGGCAAAGGATCTTGTCCGAACTCGCCGACATATCAAAAAATTCATCATGATGAAAGCCAATATACAAGCTGTCTCATTGAGGGTATCCATTTCATTATTCATTTCTTTTTCATAACAACTGTTTTTGTCCTAGTTATCTTACCTGCGGCTGTGGATGCAAAATAAAAATCATTCTAAATTCTTCATGTTCAAAAACTTAAAATGGTATTTGTTTTGTGTTCAAAATGCAAAGCGAAGTGGAGCATGTCATACTAAATTGTTCTCAGTCATGTATATGAGTACTGCTAGGGATAATTTGCGTGAAATTGATTGTGATTGTTTCTGAACTTCGTAGTCCACGTCGTTTCATTATACTTTTTAATGTTTTTAAATACCTTGAATAAATTCTACTATGGCGTTGGAAATGAGTGATTTGTAGGTACAAACTTTAAAAAGTCAAGACGCAATGGCGCAGGCAATGAAAGGGGTGACGCGAGCAATGCAAAACATGAATCGGCAGCTAAATTTACCTCAGATCCAGAAAATAATGACGGAGTTTGAAAAGCAATCAGAAATTATGGATATGAAGGAAGAAATGATGGGTGAAGCAGTCGATGATGCTATTGCAGATGAGGGTGATGAGGAGGAGACGGAAGCAATTGTTGCTCAGGTATAAATTTCGCAGTTTTTTCTTGATTTTCTTCATTTTATTTAGTCTAGAAGTTTACTTTTCTTTTTTCTAATTGCAATAATAAGCGAGGTGTTGAGGATTGTCGTAGTGCGGATAAAAATTCGTGGTGCTTCTTGTGATAGTTACATAGAATATGAAATTTCCTAATTTTTAAAGGATTCTTACAGATACTGCATCACTTATATGTTTAAATAAAGTGTATAATCGAACTGTATATTTAAATCTTTGTTTTTAAAACTTTTATAACGGAGATATTTGAAATGACGGTTAATATTTCACAACGTTTTCGTTTTAATGAGTAGAGATAATAAGTCAACAAGCTTTTCTAGATTTTTCTTTTGTTAACTTATAGTTGACCATTAAAGGGTATTATAATTACTCTGTTATTGGTTAGTTTGATTTCTTTTCTATCAAGAGCAAGGAAGGTTTTCACATTTTCGTGCGCGGCACAGATCTGTTACTCTGATGGCTATCTATAACATGCTGTACCACAGATAATGAAATCACAACATCCCAAAGTTTACAGCATTTTTTCCAGGTGTTAGATGAATTAGGAATCCAAATGAATGTGGAACTCTCGGCAATGCCTACAGCGCAGAGTTCATTGAAGCCAGCTGACCAAAACCGGCAACCACAGGCAGCTTTATCGGATGCTGACGCTGATCTACAAGCTAGGTTAGAAAATCTACGTCGGGAATGAATCAGATTGAAGTTCTGGAACGTCACACTTCTCCCAAGTTTTTATCATTGTAGAATGTTATGTTCTGAAAACTACCAAGTATTTCAAAGTTGAATTATAGTCTTGCTTTTAATTTCTTTATCTTTATTTTCTAAGAGAGTGGGAAACTGAAATTAAGAATATCCTTATTGGAAGTTAAAAGAGTTAAAAAGAGAATATCCTTAAAAAGTTAAAAAGAGAATATCCTTGTTAAAAGTTAAATAATTGATAATTCGATTAAAAGTTGCCCAAATTCTCTTTTCTGGAAGTGTGAGCTGCATTTGTGGTACAGATATATCCAAGATATATCTGTAACACAAATACAAGATACAGATATATCCAAGCAATGAAATAAGGTCTATTTTTAATTGAAATTCACAGATCTTCAACAATTAAAGTTTCTCATTGGAATTGAATAATCAGAAACAAAAAAAAGGATCAAGAAATAACATTCTGAGGTGGGCGCAAGTTTTTGATTTAACTCCGAGACAATTTGAAATTTTTCAGATGCAAACTTTTGTTTGAAGATCTCATAAAAATTTTCAGTAAATGCCAGATTAAATCTTGGAAAATGAACGGTGTTCTTTCTGCTGTCGTTAATTGTTGTATTATATAAATTTTTTTTCTAATGTACTTATATCAAGTGATAATCATAGTTTCACTTTAAAATATTCTAATAAACTCCTATGGATGCTCTGAAGCTATAGGAAATCGGATACATTTTTGTGTACTGTTCGAAAAATTGCATTTTCATCAGATGTAACCATTGATTCAATGCATTATTTTTTAAATTGTAGGATATGTTCCTCCACGAGATAATTGTTAAGTCTTGATTCAGTTGCTTTTGCGTTACTGAGCACGATAAAGTGGATTTTTTGAGGAGCAAAATCTAATTTTTCTTCAACCATTAATTACGTATCCTAATAGATATTTTCCCGGAGGAACAAGTAAATATATTTTTATGAGTGTTTAGAATTTTTCCTCATACAGCTAACTTGAAAATACAATAGTTAGTTTCAGCAACAGATGGTTTTGCATTGTGCAACTACATCATTACAATATTTTTATTGTGAAAAAGTATTTGAAGGTTTGATCCTGAACTTTCCTAAAGAAAGTTTCTTAAATTCAGTTTGATATTATGACAATAATTAAATTATTTGTTCAGTATCACTTCGTTGTAGTAATTGCCTCTTCTCTGTAATATCGCTGGTAGCGTGCAATTCATTCTGCTGTACATTGCGTGGCAGATCACGACACACTAGCGATATGCGACGACTTCGTAGAACCGGCATTCCCATGAAATAGGATTCCGCTTTACCGAGCACTTCGTGATAAAATTCGTAACGACTAAATCCTCTGGAAATATTGTCCAATTTAATAAAGCGATTAATACGATTAGAAAACAATAGTAGGACACATTCTTAACAAGTCCTAATGAATTATATTCGACGTACTACATTTCTGATATGGTCGGATAGAGAGGTTCATGGTCTTAATCATAGAAACGTTTCACTCAATCAAATCGATTATTTGGCAAGGTACAGCGTTTTAATTACTGCCATTCCTAAACCATAATGAAATACTAAGCATATTTTATAGGAAAAAATTTACTTCAGAAATGCAAATCTTATTTTTAAAATCTTGAAGTAAACTAGAGATTATTTTGAAAAGAGATTTATTTTGAAAAACATTCAGGAAAAAAATTTGGAACTGCTGAAATGAGTGGGGAAAAAACTTACCCCATTCTATAGAGGCATCGTCGTTGCAAGAATAAATCAACAATGAGTTGGTCTTTTTGCTCCTTGTGTCGTAAACGCATCACAGCATCTGATAACAAGGAAAGACCGGTGATAACATCACCACAATACTGGAAAAAACATCAAGAAATATAGAAATATAAAATATGATTAAGAGTGTGAGCATTCTTATTTGCAAGAAACTTCGGATCATTGGTACGGCAACTTTTTATTTCCAAAGCCAAAAAACGCTTTGAAAATGCATTTTATTATAATATTTTGTCATATATTTCGATAATAATAAAAACAAATTAAGAAAAATAATACCCTGACACTGTCAATATGCGGTTTAATAACACCATCTTCGTGTAAATCGAGGATATGTACAAGTAAAAGTTGTTTGTCTTCTTCTTTGAATGAATATTTTCGAATTCGATCTAGAATAGTTTCATTTTCCTTTCTCCAGTTCAGCTGCTCCCGTTCACGATATAGATGAATAGCCTGAATTTTTGAAATTTTATCTAAACGATGATCTCACAGCAAATTTCATTTAATGACCTCAAATTTCGACTACATTGATAACTGTATAGAAATATACGGTGTATAGAAGTGTAGAAGCTAAAGAACTGAAGCATTTATGATTTACCTAGGATTTAAGTACGACGTGGAACAATCATAATAAACTATTGATGCTGTAATGTTAAAGGGTATGTGAATCAAGACTTTAATGTTGATAAAGAATACTTATAAATTACGATGCTCATATCATTCGTCATTAATTTCATTAACCTTAGATAACTATTCTTTCAATTCCTAAAAAATCGAAGATTGAAAAGAACTTTTAGAAAAACAACAGAAAATATAAGACAGGAGAAAAAGTGCGATTAAGTTGGAAATTAAGTCGAACTTCGATTAATTTAAATTAAAACTTACGAAGATGAGGTTTGAAATCGGATTAAGGTTCAACTGTAAATTGAATTTGGGATGCTGATAATACCTTATAATTCAAAACAAAAGAAGCATTACATCATCCCAATGTGATTTTTCATAACGCATTCGTTTCATGTGTGGATTAATCTCATCCAAAAGTGATGCTTCTTCCCGTTCCGTGACAAAATTAGGAATAACCGTACAACATTCCAGCAATACATTCTTCATCTCTCTTGTCCATAGAGCATCGTTGTGGAAATGAATGAAATTGGTCGCCAAACGCCGAAAAATGGATAATCGCATCCAAAACGTTGATCCAGAAATTCTTCCAAAAAAAAAAAAAATTACATGGCTTCAATCGAGTTTTCGATTCTCTTACTTCAGTAATTAACGAAGGATAGCAAATCATATAAGACAGTGAGTACAAATCGCAGAAGAAATGCAATGCCAGAATCAATGTAGATAGGATAAATTTGAATTTACATACCGTTAAGTCATTCATCTATATGAATTTAAAAAATATGCTTTTTCCCGAATTATAAATCGTAGAAAAGGTCCTGCTCAACTGGAATGATAAAAATATAACTTATAATGCCAAAAAAATTACTGAGAGCTTTGCAAAATACAAAAATCCGTAGCTAATGCTATGTCTGAATTATTCTTTCTTTCCACAAGTATTACATGTATACTAATGATTTATAAACACTTCTAGTGGTACACGCTGTGTTGAAGAGTGTATTTAATGATAGAAAAAAGCAATATATATATGTATGTATATGGATAATAACCACTGAAGTTTGAGCAAATGTCAATTCACAATACAAACTCAACATGACATATATGTGAACATACACATTAAAGATACCTTGAAATCTATATCTTAGAACAAGAAATAGATTAAGGAAATCTTTGATTCATTATCATACATGTTCATCAGAGTTATTGAATGAATGAATGGATAGTTCTCGTATGATCAGAAATTCTGGTGATTTGTTATTCTTGCAAAAGTAGACTCATATCCTCAAGACTTTTGATGATATCATCTCGTAATCCTATCGAACTCTGTAAATCAGATTATATGTAATAAATAAATCAAAAGGAAGAAGTTGAAAGCAAATCATTTTCAATGCTCATATTAAAAAAATTAATAGAATTAAAGGCCGTTTGGGGATAATTAGGAGATCAACAAAACTTAGAGCAAAGAGGAGAAGTATGCTTTTCCTCTGCAAAAAAATTTTTCTAAAAGAGTATTTGAAGAAGCAGAGATCATTGTGAAAATGGATTATATCGAAAGTTTTACAATAAGGAACTCTTAATGAAATTTGTTAGAAGTCTGCACCTATTAAAAATTAAAAACATGCCGTATTATCCGCTGAACGTTTCGAGGAAATATGGAAAGAAATTATATCATCGCCGACAATAATATAAGAAACGCCATAACCATTATCAGCTACTGGTCCGAAACCACCACCAGCAGTGGCAAATTTATGAAAATCCAGATTAGAGTGTTCCACTTCTTCGCCGCATTGATTCAATGGTGTTTGACTGGTAGAAAGTAAAAAAGTGGGCGGGAATATTCTTTCTAGGAATGGTGATTTAAGTTTTAGATAGCGCATAACAATGTACCTATAAAAAAGATAGAAATCATCATTGTTGTTTTTCTTCGATAAATACAAATTAAATTCTGTTGGATGGAATGTGCTAAAACTAAAAGAGTTCAGATCAACTGATTCAAACTTTTAATATTTCTGCCAGTAGATCGATTAAATGGAAATACTTCACGATCACCAAAATCCTTATCACACTAATATCGGGTTTTATTTGATTTATATTCGCACTATTACTGCAAACTGCATTGCACTGAATCATTCGATCGAGTATGTTAAGGGAAGATAAAAAGATCAGTGATTTTTCAAAATAACTCTTGAATTTTTGTAATATTTGAAATTTTTAAATGTTTACAGAGCAAAAAGATGTCGATCAACCCCTTTACCACACATCGCATCACGATACATTGTTTGATGATAATTACAGGCAACACGAAGCAACCTCAATCTCTCCTCATGCTAAAAAATATGGAGCGCACTTATCTAACCTCAATTTTACTAAATTAATGCACGATTGAAGAGTTCAGGTTATCTGAATGATAATGTTAACATGAAAGTTTGAAAAATCTTTTCGTACTTCAAAACTTTTGTTTCGAAATATGAGGTTGTAGAAAGCATCCTCTTAAAAAATGTCTAAAACGGGAAAATAAACAGCGTAATCAAACGTTCAGACTTACAGTTTGAGTTGAATCCAGCATAGCGTGAACAAAATCACAACTATATGAGGAACATGATCGGACAGTTTCTGTTCGTCCTTCTCGGAATAAACGTGTCGTTGATGCTTCGTAAGTCAACGCGAACTTTTTCTGGTTCTAAATAAACATTTACAAGAAAGAAAACTAAAAATCTCATATTTGAGAAAAACTGGATCACATGGAATTGCTGATCCGAGCTATAAAACACCAAAAAAACTTTTCCAAATAACTGATGACAATCCCAAAGTATTGAGAATAGGATGCTGGAGTACGAAATGGAAGTAGATCTCTATTATAATAAGGCCGACTATATCTGTAAGGCTATCGTATTATAATAAAGAGAAAAATTAATTCACTAAAAGCTTTCAGCCTAATCTCCTAACTTCTTAAGAACTTACACGATAGAAGGCCAATTGTAAAACCAATTGAAGGAAGCCATCTGGCGATACCCGCAACTTTTTTATAAGGCCTTTACCATATTTAGTCCAAACTAATAAAGCCATTTCTACATCATCAATTAAAGCACGTGCTGTTTGGAAAGATTTCATTATTGTAGTCTGAAATGAAAAAATTAAAAAAAAATTTCAAACAGTTCTAAAAATTCCTTAATCTATTCAGCACATTTGCATGCCAAAATTGAAAATTCCTTATAATCTCAGTATATATTGGCAATCCCTGAACGACATTAAAGGTTTACTCAATGTATATATAAAAGAATTGAGTTTATTACATTTTAGCACATACATAAAAAAGTTGAGATTATTAGATTTTAGTCGTTCATAGCAAACACTACTAACCAATGCGTTATTTATCGTAAGCATATACACAATACTGAATGAAAAAATTTCTTGTTATTAATTAATTAATAATCATAAGCGAACGAAAGATGTGTTAAAATAAAAGGACAAATTACTTTTAATTCAGGAGTAATATTCCATCGCAATCGATCATATTTCGGGATTGATCCAACTTTTCCACATGTATTTCCATTTTTATCGTAACTATATTCACAAACTGTTTTTCTGGCACAAAATTCCATTAAGTGAGCCACCACTGCCGCATCGCCCCTAAAGCATTCCATTATATTTATAAAAACTGTTGACAACAAGTTATAAAATGAAAATCAGAAGTGAAAATAAAATATTTTTAAATTGGCCGAACAAATATCTATTAAGATGTATATAATAATCAGTTAATTTATTAACTAACAATGAGAATATATGCAATACCTAAAAGAGAGTTATTTTTTATAAAAGATTTTTTCTATTTGCTAAGCTACGACTATTCGATCATTACTATCAATATTAATGTTGATTTTAACAACTCTTATTGATTAATTTACCATTCAGCAAAACCACAGCCTTACTTCCCAAAATTACATCATGATATTAAATATTTTAATTTACTTAATAGATAGTTTGTTAATAACAAAAACTTATATTTTTACTACATAGCTGCAATTTTGTAGAGATATCATCAACTAATTTATATCACAATCCTTTTTTATTTCAAAATATAAATATATTCAGATATAGAAATTTTCTCAACCTCAATTTCATTTGAATTTTACAATTGTATAATATTCTCACCATATTAGCTTTGAATTATAAAAACTAATAGAAAATTTAAATATTTTTATGCAAAAATTGTGCATAAAATGAATAGTTCGTAACATTGGCATTTATGAAAAACATCTGAGAAATTGACTTAGAATGAAAGAATTCAAAAACTAAAAACTATTTTTATTTAGTTGTTAGATAAAATTATAAATAACTTCAACAAAAATCATTTGCAAAAAAGTCGTTGTCTTCCAATTTATATGGTCATCTTAGTCTACGTCATTTTTTTTTCAAGTTATCGTGCAAATTTAGAAATCAAGTAGATCTGGAAACAATTTAACGTAGGGATTAAGGAGATAATGATGTCTATACAATTATCACTAGCATCCTCAGCAAAAATATAATAAAGAGATAACGAATATATCGCATGACTACCAATATTAAAGAGATAACGAATATATCAGATATATCACATGACTATCAATATTTTCCGGGCTTCTTTGATATTATATTTTGATATTAAAATATTTTAATATATATATTTTTTAATATTTTTAATATTTTAATATTAAAATTAAATTGAAATTGCAAATTATTCAGATATATTCTGCTTGTTATCTGCAACCGAAAGTAAGCCGAAGTTTCAGCAATAAGGTAAATAAAACGACAAACCAAGAATGTTCAGCATTGATACCAAAACGACCATTTTTAAAAATAATAAGATTGAATGACTTATCGAACCAACGATCACATCCAGTACCATGCAATAAGCTGCTAGCCCAATAATCCAATTTCGATGGATCATTCTAAATTTGGCCATTAATTTAATAATAAAATCAGTTTTTGGTAACAAATGATGTTTATAAAAATATTAGCTTTAGAATAAAGGTAACACTAAGAAATCCATGAAAAGTAAATAGGAAATGTTTTAAGAGCTTTGTTGTCTCAGCGATCTATGAAAAAGAGTACTAGAACGTACGGAGTCATAGAAAACTTCCTGCTCATCCAGTATAACTACAAATGCAGCTTTTTCAACTGCATGCAACGAAAGTCGATTGATTCCGGAAGTAAAGTAATTCCTGCGTGCTTGCGCCCACATATCTCGATTGCCGGCTGTTAAAGCAGCAATATGACTTTCTTCATCATCTGAATTAACTTTTTCATTCAATATCGCTTCAAAACCTTTCTGCAGTTCGCATGGCTCATATAACCTGCAAAAAATGAATGTTCTACAAGTCTGCTTGTAAGTAATTATCAACTAAAAAATATATCAGTTTAATAATTGGTACATATTGAATATCCTATAAATTCAAAAAAACAGAATTTACAGGAAATTCAATTTTTTAGACGAGTTCTTGTACGAAATAGTCAGTTTCTAGATGGATACTAATGGCATGATTGTTCATTTGTATATTTTAATTCGCCTGCTAGTGCGATTGCTAGTGGCATTGTTCGTTGAAAAAAAGAAAAAAGTAATAAATAATATACAACGCCGAACATTTAAAGAGCCACGCCGGTTTTTAATTCTATCTAAAAATTCAACGATGTTCTTTGGAACCGTTACACTTATCTTTTTTCAAATAAATAAAATTTTTGAAACGCCTCATAGTCTAGAATTCCTCACCAGAGTTCTACAGTTTTTTTTCTTTCTTGAATTCTTTATATTTCACTTCTTCTCTTCTAAGTTCCTTCAGTAATGATTGTCTCTGATATTATTTTGTCACATACTTTTTTACAGTAAAAAGTTCATAAAATGTCTACAGTAAAAACACATGTAAAAAACAAATTTAATAACATTTTGGACTTCTTAAAGAACTAACCTTTTCCCATTATGAATGGCAAGACGAAACCAACGACCACTGCAATACACTGCAACATGTTTCGCATCACTCCAGTGATAAAACCTATCCTTTTCCAAATATGGCACGCGGCAACTGTTGAACATTCGTTCATACTGAGCGGTACAAAACGGTATTTTGTATTGTGATAAGAACGAAAACTGCAAATATAAAACTTGTTGTCCGAAACAAATAGTAATTTTCTGACAGTTAACATTTTTCAATTCTTTGTTTATTTTATGCGATTCCAGTTTTTGTGCTTATCGTAAATAAATTCTGTCATATTAGCACACTTTCGTCATCACAAGTTTGAGAGACTTTGTTTGGAAAACTGACCGGTTTTATTTCCTGCCGTTCTATCATGCGTCGGAATAAAAGCGCCGCCCAAGTCACAGCAGCGGCACGAGCGGCTTGATTATGTGTCGGATGTGCCACGATTGAGTCCATGCCATAGTAATTGCTGCAAAATAACATTCAAAAAACTAGTAAAACATATCTCGCAATACAAGTTAAGTTCTTTAAGTAAAAAAAAAACTAACCTATTGATCATTATCGGAGAACGCTGTCGCAAATAAACAAATTCTTCCCACCAATCAGAAACGTAATTAATCGAAAGAAAAGATTTAATAATTAGGTACCACTGCAAATGCCGCCCCACTCCATTACGAAATTCTTTTGTAAGCTGAACTAGCTCGTCATATTCTTTGTCTGTGCATACTGGACGCATCGTACAAAGGTGCTGAAATTTTTTTTAATTTTAATTTTTCTTTTCAAATAGTCATCTTTTGGATACGCCTGCAATCATCATAAGTTTCCTAAATGAATGAACATGATCTTCATCTAAACATGAGGAATATCATCATTCTATTTCTCTATGCTCAATGCTGACCTTATAAAGAGTGTCGTCCAGCCGCGGTAACGGTAAATGTGGCAAAGCTCCTTGAAATGAATGTAACATCAGACCACTTTTTGATAATAGATGTAAAATAGCCTGGAATTGAAAATAATTTAGGAAGTGTATTTGCTTCATTTAAAAAGGTTTTACTTACTTTTGAACTGAGGATTTCCCAGTATGTTGTAGGAGATAATTTACGACAGAAAAACTTTTCATGCATTTCGGAACGTATGGTTCATGAAAGAAGGCTTAGTACCAAAACTATACTAAAGTTACCAAATCCTTATCAGTAGCAGTTGATTGAAAAAGAAATCGTAAGATATATATGCAAAACATTAGCTTACCAACCACAACTTCGATGATTTTGAAGGTGGCCGTAAATATGGATTCTCAAACATCCAACCTTTGTAGAGCAAAAAACATTTGAGACTTAGCCGAATGACTTGAATTATCACGAACCATACAAAAATACTATATAGCATAAGTGTAAGTGCTTGCGAAAATAATCCATTTCTGCAAATTTAAACAATAAAAACATACTTCAGAAACGAAATTTTTTAAACATACAGAGAAAAATAAATTTAACTATCAAACCTTATAAGCTCTGCTATTTTAATAATTGAAATTTGAGCAAAATATAACATGTTTTAAGATTTGATGATGTGGCAAACTTGGTATTGAACAAAAAACGTTCTTTTTATCCACTAAAATTAAGTAAAAAACTAACAATATAAGTATCTTACCAGAAATAACCAAGATTTTCAAACTAAAAACTTTAAACATGATTTTTGATCTCTTCGTAGAAATCAGAAATTCTCTTACCAAAAATCAGAAGTTTCCTTTTGTAAAAAAAACTATCCCGCTGTCAAAATGCTCATCAAATTTAATTCGTAACTGAAATTTGAGAGAAACAAAAAAGTATGTCATAATAGAAAAGAAACGGTTAGAAGAAATAGTTCGTTACCCAAAAAATGAATTGAAGATATAATGTTGCAATAAATACAGTATACCAAATGAAAAATCATGATGAAACGCCGACAAAAGACTGACCACAAACATAACTATACACATCGTATAAGCATTTGCTGGGAAGATACCGTTGTAAAAGTTATTCTGCAATGAGGTAACATACTTTCATAACTTGACAGAAGAGTAATAATAAAAATGTTTCAGAAATGAATCATTTGAATATCACGTGCGATATTCATAGCTCTGATAATTACTCCATTTTTAGATTCTTAGTATTCCAAGAGATCTGTTGATCACAACAAAAAATTATTGAGAAGTAAAAAGGGTGGTGAAAACGAATGAGTTATATTTTATCCATGAGTAATCGTAAGAAAAGATATTTTAGAAACTTCTATGATCTGAAAAGTGAATAAGATTTATAACGCTGTTCTACTTGTTACTTCTTTGATAAAAAAGCATTTGAAGTGAAGATAGAATATAACTTTTCTTTTTTTCACAAATGTACTCTTATTCGGTGTATTACATTTGTTGCCATTTGCTCATATAAATAGAACTACCAAATTTCACCGTACGCTTTAACAAAAATTTGCTTCCAATTTCAATACAACCAAATATTTAAACTAGCGTGAAATTCACGTACCTTAAAACGTGCAACACGTTTTTTGTAAGCTCGAGAAAATGAATGTAAAATTTCATTAAGCAATGCATAATCGTAAGATACTGATATACCATCATGCGTTAACGAAACGGACAGCGCCGCAATACTGTGCGCTTCCGCCATTGCTTCTATTAAATACACGAACTTGCACCACAATCTGAGAATAACTCTGCGATGAATTAATTTACCTCCTCATTAAAACTCCCTTTTTGTAAACTTTGTTCGTTATTATTACCTCGATCACGAATGTTTGTGGTACTTTGGAACTGATATAGATTTACACTGAACAAGATTTCTAGGCTTACTAGAGTTTCGAGTGAGTCATAAATTAGAATCTGGAGCAAAAATTGGAAATTAGTTTTATGATACTATAAGTAGGTGTTACAAATATTTATAGGGTAAAAAGCTCTATTTCACAACGTGAATACAGAAATAAACAACTTATGTAACAAGAGCTAAAGAAAGTCCTGAACTAACTGAACTAAAAAACTGGTAAAAAGCAGAAGCAATTTCGAAGGAAACTATGGTATCACCAAATATCAGTAATAAGACCAAAATACTATTACAAGCCGCGCAGTAGTTACCATTTAGTGAAGTGGAACGAGCTGTTGATTGAGTTATTGTTGGTGGACAGAGTACAAAGTGCAAAGTCCAAAAAACAACTAGACATACGAAGTGTACTTATAACAACATACTATAATCAATTACATTATTAACCAGATCACCGTGATAGAAATGGGTCGAAATATTTAGTTTTGCTATCATCACTTCTGAAAATGAGAATAAACTTGAAAATTTTACAAGAAATCTAACCGGTCATGCGATTTATTGGTTCAACCGATTTTACTCTTCCATGCGATTTATTGGTTCGTGCAAAGTCCAAAAAACAACTAGACATACCAAGTGTACTTATAACAACACCCATAATCATTTATATCGTTAATCGGATCACCGCGGTAGAAATGAGTCGAAATATTTAGTTTTGCTATCATCACCCCTAAAAATGAGAACAAACTTAAATTCTTCACAAAAGATCTAACCGATCATGCGACTTATTGCTTTAGCCAATTTTACTCTTTCAGGCGATTTATTGATTCAGTCGATTTTATTCTCTCCTTTTTTGATAAATGCTCAACTCTTCTAGATAAAAACAAACAAGAAAACCAATTCTCCTAATTATATCGTTGTTTACTGAACAACAATTGTTCCAATGATGCACCCATCCAGCGAAATTCTCCGTCAACAATGATAATACGCAAGACCATGCAAACATCAATGTAATAATCTCGCCTGATGTTATGGATAAAAACGCAGGAGCATGAAGATTACTGTTATATCAGACTTATTATCATTCTAAGTTTACTTGTTTCAAGTTCGTACTATTTAGCTGCAAAATTCAGTAATTCTTTTATCATTTCGGAATTATCAACCACAAAGTAGCATGAGATATTCTGTATCAAATTGAACTTATCCAGCAACATATAGCGCCCATGTCGCTCGTCTGACATCTGTCCAACCTTGAATATTTTTACACTTGTTAAATGTTTGCTTTTTTTTACAAATAAAACAATTACTAACTAGCTCACTTATTATGTCTAATATTACATAAGAACATCCAATAATAAGACACCAGGTAATATTTTCGGAAGAAACATCATCATTTATGCTCGAGAAATTTCACTGATAAATTCTATCATAGATAAAAAAAAAATGACTAATTGATCTGACACCAATAAATTATGAATGCAACAATGCAATATATATTAATAAAGTCCGCTCACACCCTCTTTAACCATCCTTCAATAAACTGCAAATATTCGTTTTAAATTAATACATGATTCAAAAATTACCACAACAGATTTGATATGATATGAAAAGTATCAACTAAACACTCAAAGTTCCCAGTTAACCAGTAGTGGGGTAGAAACGTGAAGGTATTAAAATTAGCCGAAATACTTCAAACCGTAGTATACACCACTGCATATTTTTGTTTAATCAAATTTATTACCGTTTCACCATTTAATATTCTACTCATTATTTTGCACTCATAACTATACCCCACTTCTACATTGCAAAGTCTAAATAGTCCTAAATTTTCTTCGCCATTCTCTTCTTTATCCATCAATTCCGAAGCTAGGACTGATTTCTCAGTACTAATTATTTCCCTAATGTGTCAATAATCAAATTCTGTCCTACCTCGAGAGTCTCAGGGTCATCGCTGGATGAGCGATAAAAAGGATGACTTTAAAAACAGAAATCTGAGAGGATATATCTTCCTTCACTTATAAACTGCTGGACAAATAAAAGTTCTATGCAGTGCAATGCATTTTTGATGGTATTCTAATGTATCGACAATAAAAGTAAAAATTACAGGAAAGAAAATAGTACGCAAAAAACACCACTTAAACGAAAACATTAGAATTACGACAAAAAAAATCATTTTCAGATACAAACAAGCAAAGGCAGAAATATTAAATCTTCCGACCTTCTCGTATAAACAAATCAAGTTTTCCTCTTTATGATATGTTTATTCTCCGTTGTTAATCTAATGAATTGAGTAAAGTGAATAGAGACTATTTTCGCATTCTATTCCATTTATACCCGTACCGTCTCAAAAATTGGGCTTCTTGTTCCACATCCATGTAGCAGCACTCTCATCCTATATTTTAAAAGTTATTTTTGGGTTTTTCCAATCAAAGGCTGTGACTAACAGAGACTAAAGTCTAATGTCGAAACGCTTTGTGATATAAAAAGGAAAGCGTAGTATTCCATAACGTAAATGGAAAAAATTCAATTTTTGAAAAACAATAGTATACTTACCGGAATGCAGTTGTAGTACAAGAAAAATGAGACAGCTTCAAAAAGTAAGAATAAAAGTATGACATAATAGTGAAGTGTTAAACTATGTACAAATATTTACAAAATACAAAATTTTTTAAAAATTCCCCGATTCTCACCAAGTTTAGCTCAATTCTTGATTAATATTTGAATTTGCAATTTCTGGCAAAAATATGTTAGATATAAGTATAGAAAAAATTTAGAAGAAAAATGAATAATGTTTTTGCATATATTTAGTCAAAATATATATCTTTTTGCTTATATTTAGTCAAATAATGAAGAACAGATAGCAGGAATACGTGCTTCCAAATAAGAATTGTTTTTAGAAACAGTGAATAGTGAAATTATAGAAATTGCTATTCACTGCGGAGTATCCCGATTTTTCGCAACAAGCTTCTTACTCAACCCAATAATAGTTATTATGCCAAACAGATACCTCGAATTCCCTCGGAAATAAGGAAAGAAAATAAAAAAACAAAACTAACTCTCCCTGTCAAATCTACCCACTTCTCCAAGAAATCAAATTCGAAATATTTTTATTAATTTACATCACGAAAGGTTTTTTCCAGTGTTATCAGCTCCATTCATTCGCTTTAAATAGTCGACCAGGGTTTCCGAAGGTGGCCGGAATGAGCAGTATTTATTGCGGACTTTGACAAGTTTCTCGCCACCACTACCAATAAGTACACCTTAAATGTGCAATCGAAACCAGTCGAAACTTGAAATTTTCAATTGAGAGATGATCAAACGATAATGCAAAAGGGAGGAAAGAGACCATGTAAATTATTAACTTGTTTTTCAGAAATATTTTAAATATATTCCATTTCGTACTTCTATAAAAATTTTGTTGGAAAAATTACTTTTCGAGATTAGAGAAAGATATTGCGATAACGCGTGTATGATAAGACGTTTCAACCGTGGTAAGACAGATGAAGACCATTCCGATACCGGCAACACACTTTCACAAAAAAATTTTCTCATTTCCTTTTCATTTACAGCCATGAATTCCTGCAAGGGTTATATAGGAATCAAGATCAAGAAGTTGAAAGTGAAGCACAACGATCTGGAAACACAATGAAAAACGTAGACCGATTGTTTGAAGCACAAATTCTATATTTCAAATCTATACAAACGGAAGCATACATACCAATGGTAGTGTTTTATGCCTTAACATCATCCTGAATCGTCGATTTAAACGCGAAAACGAAACCTCCGCTGAATGTAATGGATTGCCTGAATTTTTACGCTAATAAGGAGATTTCAATAGTCAATACTCTCATGGTCTTCCCTCTTATAACTTCTACAGTCGCAGGAGCGCTACTCATCCACTCTCTCACTGAAGCACTATGGGCAATCTAAATCAAAGACATTTTTATGAATACCTTTCTAAAGATTCACATTTTGGAAACTAGATTCAAACATTGAAACAAATCATCAGAAACATATTGTTGAAAAGTACCAACCTTGATGAGAAGATTCATCTGAACTGAAGCAATGTTGCTGTACTTCCTCTGTCTCAAAACTTTCTAAGAATTCTCGTTGTTCCTCTTCATTCTTTTCAATAAAAATGTTCCACGCCTGAATGGTTTTCTTTGTGCCAATTTATGGAACTACTATGGGGTTTAAACGGAGTTTAAACGTTAAATGAACCAAACTGTTAAGAATTCAAATTCCACCTGCATATTCTCTTCTTCGGTGAACAATTTTGAGAGGGCTGTTACTGTTGACTGCATGATGTCGGAATAATCTTCGCAGATATCTCTCGCATCTACCATCGAATATAAAAGTCGTGCTATAAGAAAAATAATAGGATTTTTAAATGGACGTTAATGTATATGTGAAATACGAAGAGAAGAAAACGCTAATTCTTATAATTCAACTTTATTTTTTAAGACAGTTGTTCAGCCATGCTATAGTGCAGCTGTGAGAAATATTAACTATACTTAACTGTAATGTACCAAACATTCTTAGAGACTAGTTACTCTTTTCGATGCTACAAACAGCGCAATTAATAGTTATAGTTAGTTTAACAGTGCAACAGCATGATACTAAATGAATATTTTCGCGCTACCCAAATCATAATTTAATCAATAAAAACAAACCATTCTCATATCTTCGTTGTTTTCGTGCACCCATCCGTCCTTTTTTCGTCATATCTAAATCACCAGTGATATCATTTAACCACTGTGCCTTCCGTACATTGCGTCCATCCTGAAAAAAAGTACTTTCATCAACAGCTTCCCTAACTCGAATTTTTTCACTAAATCAAATAAAATTGCGACTCTTTGTTCGTTAAGTATAATGATTCTAAAAATTAACCAAGTATTTTACCAGTTTTAAACTTGAACTAAACAGAGAAACTTATTTTCTGCCTTCTTCGGTGCGGCGTAAAACTCTGCATGGTAGTTTCATTGAGATCATTTTCGGACTGAATTTCATTCTCACTTTCATAATCAAGCAAGTAACTGAAAAATGATTTCTCTTAATTTTCTTCCTAAGTACTATTAAGATATACTTTTCTCTTCTCCTCCGAATTGCATTAAGAAACCAGAAAAGGCCAGTATTTTAGTACTTCCATAATACAAAGTAACGGTTTTTCCGAGATCTCCTAATTAAAACCCACCATCCTGCAACCTTTTATGAGTAAGTGAAAATGCAGTATTACTGAACCATTCTATAAGAGTACTTCGTAAAGAAAAAAAGGAGCTTACTCATCCAACGTGATACAATTAGACATCAGCAAATGTGAATTTTGTCGAAGAACTCCCATACTTCGGTGAAAACGGCTTCAGATGAAGTGTTGTAGCTATAAATCGATACTTATGGTTGGTGTCAATGTTCAATGATGAGAAAAGCTCTACAAGCAAGTACGTACGTGAATTTCACTCCAAGTACGAGAATTTTTTTAAAGAAAAATCGATTCTATTGCTTAGGATTTTGAATAATCAAAAGAAATACGAGCTTAACGAGTTAAAATTTATAAATGAGAAATACACATATTTCATTGCGTATATAAAAGCGACAAACGTCATATGCAAAATGTCATATGCAAATTGCCAATGAAATATGTGATAAACGAATAACACTAATAAAAGATAATTCCATAATAAAAAACAAAATTTTGCAGTTTTTTGCGAAATTCCATGTATTTTAATGAAATTACACATAGATAATATTGATAATTCCCACGTGGAAAAGCACGACAATATATAAAGTGTTTCCTTTACGTGACATATCATATGATTATAAAGTGTTTACTTCACGTGACATATCATATGACAAGTGTTTACTTCATTTACATATGACATATTATATGACAATATCTCAATTTGATAAACATCATGATTGGACAGCTTTAGAGAGAGATCACACCAAAATTACTTGCTGAGATATAAAGCGGTTAACACGAGAAATTTCCGGGTGAACAACGTGTCACTATCGTATTCACAACGTTCGCATCATGATGAACATATCCGTTTACAACTCAATAACGATCATTGCTGTCAGTTTCCTCAATCAAAAACTGATAGTTTGTTATAATATCAGACATATCGGATTTTATTTTACAATTTATAAATTCAAAAATAAATGTAGAAATAATTCATCCATATGTGAATTCAATCGTACGTAAATTAAGCTCGTCATTTCCAAATTTTCGTCATATATAAAGAAAAAAATCGTCATCAATATCATCTGTTATGTACATTGATACGTAGAATATTAGTATAAAAGTCTGTATGTGGAATCTATTGGAAAGTATTAGTTCAAATTCATGATAATTTCTCTCTGATTTAAAAATATTCGTCAAATTCATGCTTTGACAAAATGCGCCACACAAATGAACATCCGCGTTGACATACGATAGAAGGTATTTTTAAGAAGTTGGTTTACTGTTTAAAGGTTATAGTTAATTCAATTTAGATTCTAATTAGATGATTTAATTTAATTTAATTAACATTATATAAAACAATTAGTAGCAAGCATGCATTTCTTTGAGCTTCTTGACAGAAGGTAAAATTTAAACTATACTATAGTATAGAGTACGAGTAAATTTAATGATTTGAATTTTTATCTAATTTTTTTCAAATGCTATTATTCACTTTATTGTTTTTGCATATTATTGTAAACTGAAACAAGGAAATTTTCTTCATTTTCTCACTCTGTCTCTCTCTCCCCCTTTTTTAAAAGATAAATAAAACGGTATATATCAAGATAATTCCAGCTGGCCCTTAGAATGAACAATTTGACTGAATCTTTTTTAAATGAATGATAAGGTCTAATATTTGTACAGATGATATATTCCCACTAAATTTCCCATCAATTGATAGCGAAAACAATCAGATCGAATGATCATCATCGATCTTATGTGGTCAATATTCAAACATTAATATCAATATTCAATACTTACCTGTTTAAGAACTAATAAAAATTGATCCAATTATTCAATCTTAATCAATTATCACAATCCGATCCAACCTTATCCAGTTCTATTTAATTCATCCTAATTCCAGTATTACTTACTATTCATATTTACTTACTGTTCTATTTCTCATTTATATATTATGCTTCCAGTATTATTCTTTAGTGACTTAAGATTAATGATTGACAAATTTTCTTTTTTCCCTTTTCTCTCTAAGATGTCATAATAATCGATATTAAGAAACTAATATACACCATGATTAATAATAATGTTATTCAGTGATAGAATGTATCTGTCACTGTCAGTCACTGTCACTGTCACTGTCATTGTCATTGTCATTGTCACATCATTTCAAGAACGTTAGAATGAAAGATAAAAAAATACTAAAAGTAAAAGTGTGCAATTTATGATCGTTGTTGGCTGATTGGTCGTTTTCTTAAGCCATTTTTATGTATTTATCAAAAAATTTTCCGTCCTGTTATCTGAACGGTTTTTTACGTATATGATACTTTCTCCACTTTCCTTTATCTCTTTTACACTTATTTATCAATTTAAATTTTTATTGTTGATCCATTTTATTTACAGCATTCTTTCTCCTCTCTTCATCCATCTCATTTCTTTATTTTATTTTTTTTGTTCAATATTGTTAATTCCTATTTTTGTTAACATTGATAAATTTAATCAGTATTAATGAACTTTATCAAATGTATGTCTGACATAACACTGATATCAAATTCATTTCATATTCTGTCCTCTCTTCACAAATAATAAACATTTAAAAATTGAAGTTTAATGATTCATAGAATAATGGTATTTGTTGTGTAACATCATCACATAATAAGTAAACCAAATATGTATTTGCTTTGTTTTTTGATAATCGATCAAGATGATATTTTAAACCTAAACTTTTTATTGTTATATTTTCATCTTCTCATTTAGCTTTTGCTTTCACTTTGCTAAAACAAATGGAAGTTTTATTAATATATATTTGCATAATGATTGTAATTATAATAAAGGCGGTATGATGAAGACAATAAACACCCTTATAAACATATCATTGTCATTAATACTTTCACTGATATAATTAGTATAATTATAATAGTAATAACAATTAATAACGTTGATTTAAATTGATGATTAAAAGAAAAATTGACTCTAAAAAATACTTCAAAATTTAAATGCTTTGTATCAATTGAGCATAACATTAAAAAATATATATCAAACAATTTAGCAATAAAAATACATATATATTTGGTTTATTTGTCATGTGATAATATTACAATCAAATATTATTATTCTATGAATCATTAAACTACAATTCTTAAATGTTTATCATATGTGAAGAGAGAAAAGAATATGAAATGTATTGATAGCAATGTTATATCGAACGTACATTTGATAAAGTTGATTATTTGATTATTACTGTTTGTCACTAACAATTCCATTCTTTCACTTACCCTTTTGATGTCTTCTTTTCTTTTTTATATTATACTACATAAAAAGAATCAACGACAATTAAAATTTCAACTTTGTTTTTCTCTCACGAAATAACATCTGAATGCATCGTTCAATAACCCCATCTATCCATTTTATAAACTTTTTTCCGAGTCAAAACTTTAGAAAAGAATGATTGATTTCGTCATCGTCATTGATATATATATATATATATATATATGAAGTTAAATGTTTATATTAAAATAAGAGAATTTGGCACATCTGCGCAATTTGCCATACTGCGCTTTCATATGGCTTAGTAAGTGTTATTAAAAATTTAATAGAAAAATTTGGATAATTTAGATTAAGTTAAGATGAATTGAACTGCTCAGGAATTTTCTCACTGTAGCTTTTATTTTCTATATCGTTGTTTATTTATCCAACTATTTCCACCGCCATATTATCAATGGAACCATACTAAATTCTCAATTTAGCTTACATAATTCATTCATTACTTTAAACATTGTGTTATAGGAATTTAAATGGTATAATTCCGAATTGTTGTAAAATTATTTAAGGAAAAAGAAATCATTCGTTGAAATGGCAAATTTTTTTAAATCTATTTTTCATTTATTTTCAACCTAATCCATATGGCTATTATGCAACTTTTTTAAACTTTATTTCATTCAACTTTTTTATTTGCTTACTTACCCTATAATTTCATTCCTTTTTAAGGAGTTGTTTTATTTCTCTGATCATCAATATTTCCACTCAATTCATTTCAGTAGAATGCAAAATCGTACACTTGGAGTACTCGTTTTCCCAACTAATCGATCGGATATCATTCTCGGCAATCCATTTTTGTTACATTATGGTTCTTATAACAAAAATAATTCAAATGTTAATAGAAAAACATATTATTCTGAAGAGCAAAATCGAGATTGCAGTAATTCATCCAATCCTATTGGAGATAATTTATCTTTCTGTCATCATTTTTCCAATGAAATTTCAACCAATTTAACCGGAAAAATGAGTGAATCCATGGAATCCACTCATCAATGTTCGAAATCCGGCATATATCAACAAAGAACAAGGAATGATGAGAAAGAACAGCAAAACATGATTAAGGAGCAACAAAAACCTTTAATAATTCAAATTGAAAATCGATCAGGAAAATCGAACGGAAGCAAGATGACAAATACAGAAAATGAATCTGTTGGACGAAAATTATCGAATCTTTCGAAAGAATCAAAATTTTCAAAATTTCCCGAAATAAACATTACTTCAACATCTCATAATTCTTCGTCAGAAATTCACAAAAATCCATCTGCCTCAAATATTCAACAATCTAATTTCACATACAATTCTAAATCATTGTCATCGAATAGTACAATGCAAGCAAAACAAAAATTTATCGAACCAATCATTCAACGACGATCTTTAGCAGATGTGGAACAATACGAAAGTAAATTGTTTTTCCTGAAATATCATACCTAAAATTTTATTTTTGATATATCTAAAGCTATCAATATGTTTCGCTATTTGAAAGGAAATAAATTTAACTTCACAAAATGCTTTCATTAAATGAACAATTTATGATAATTAAATTCTCAATTATTCTAACTATTCTTAAATATAAGTTTCGATGATTGTCGATCAATATTATTTATAATTAATTAATATTACTTGTAATTACTGCATTAATTTTATACGATATAATGCATACATGTAAATATGCACACATATATATAATGAAATAAAAAAACATTTTAGAAAACAAAAGAGTCAAGAATTAAATTATCGTAATTTATTTTTATGGCCTAATTTTAGATAACATTTATCAGCGACATAGTTCAGATGGATTAGTGAAGGAAATTTTGGATGATTTGGATAATGCATTGGATATTGATGAATATATGTCATTCAATGAAATACAACAAAATTCACAGGTTTTTTCCTTCTCTTACATTTCACAATATTTTAATATAATAAATTTTCAATGGCGAAATTTACAAAAACTTTTAATTTTTTCTTTTCTCTTTTTCATTTTTATAACTAATTATTAAAGCTATTAGTAAATATATGTCACATACATAATAAATGTATGTATGTGTATTTGTATTATTTAATAAATTAAATAAGCGAACAACAAAAATGAAATTGATAAAAAATTCATCCAATCTTTCCCGATCATTCAATGTAATTGGAAGTTCCACGCATCAATAATCAATGAATGTAATTAAAACAAATCAATGAATATAATTAAGCATTAGTTTGTCGAAGGACAAATTATCTTTCCCTTTAAATTATCTTATCTTATCAATTATCCTGTATTATTTAGCATGTTGTTAATTTCCCTCTCTTATTTACTCCTAATTTTCTACCAATTCTGCGGAAAAGAGAAGCAATAAAAAAAAACTTAGTGATAAGGAAATTTGATAAATTGATTTACTTTCAGAAATCTATAGCAATATCAGACGATCTTTTGGATGACTCAAAATACTCTCCCATTTATGAATATGGTAAAAAACATTTTTGCTGATTAACTTTTGAGCCGTTCTTAAATAGTCCTCATAATTCGATTTTGCAGTGATTTAAGCAAATAGATATTAAAGGAATAAAAATTTTTATTTTCAACAATTTTAATTGTTGAAAAACTTTATTTACCATCATTAAAAAAAAATCAGAAATTAATACGTATTAATCAAAAATTAACTTTTTGGATTTGTTATAGATGATAATACACGAAGTGCATACAAAAGCAAAGACGATAAAGGAGAATATGAAATTAAATCGAATAAAATTAAAACAACTATTTTGATCAGCGATCATCTCAACGATCAATTAATTCAAGGTTTTGCTATTTCGTTTCCACTTTTCTTTTTTCTGAACAAAATCTTCAAAAGCAAACGATTTAGATGAATGATATAATTTGAGGTGACAAGTGACTTAATGCAACATTTTATTAATGACCAATAATAAGAGAGATATACGTTGGGTCATGTAAGTTGTACGTTGGGTTACTTTATTAATGACAATATTTACGTTGGGTCATTTTATTAATGACCAATAATAAGAGAGATGTACGTTGGGTCATGTAAGTTGCAAATTACGATATCTCGATCACAGTAGAGAGAATCTATAGCGCTAAAAAATTGAATTTGAAATTTCATAGATTCAAATCCAACATAAAAATGTCTTTAAGAGTTGAAACAATTACCGCAAGGTATAATGTCGCTGAAGGATTATAAGCAGAAACAAAAAAATTTAATAATTGAACGGGAAAAATTGGTTCGTTACTTAAATAGTTTATCTCTATTCGTCAGTTATGACGAAAACTCTAAAATTTTATTAATTTCTGTAAAATTCAAATTTCACAAATTCAAATGCAATGAAAATGCTGAAAGCGTATTTTGTTGTCAATAGCATTTAATTTTATTTATTTTAGAAAATAAGAAATTAAAAAAACGTTATGAGATTTTGCTCCAACACTTCAGTCATCATTTCAGAAAAATAAATTAAGAAATAAATTTTACCATTCACATTATCGTTCTATTCATTATATGTTAAAATAATTTTTAGATTAGCTTCATAACTCTTAAATGTAATTTTTAAATTATAGTTGGAAATTGACATTGAAGAGATGAGAAAAGCTTGTACATTGGATAAATATATAAGCCAAGTGCCAGAATTTATCAGTGGTACAACGAAATTATTGCCAACATGGAAGAGACAAATATTAGCTCGAAAAATTGCTATTAAAGATATGCAAAGAAAAGAAGAAGAACTTCGAGTACGAAATTTTCAATTTCTGATAAAATAAAACTTTAGTATTTTAGTATGGAAAGTATTGATTGAAGGAATTGATTCCTATAATATAATTAAAATAACAAATGCTAATTTAATAGAGTTAAAAATTTTGCTGTGTTTCAGCATAAATATAACTTAATCTTATCATTTTTTCTTTTATCACAGCAAAGTATAAATTCAGTGAAGAGAATTTAACAAACGTTGTAGCATATGAAGATTGATTGATACGATTAATCAATTTATTGGATTTGATAATAATAATAATGTTTATATAAATGCTCTTCAAATGATAAGCAAGAAAAAGAGAAAATTTTTGCAGAGAAAATTTCAAGAATGGAAAATTCGACTCTATCCAATACGACGTGAACTAAAATCTTAAGAAATTAATGAATATTTTCTATAATAGCGCTCTACTTTTTTTTCCTAATTTGCATATATTTTTATGGAAGAAAAATAATAAGTATTGAGATATGAAATTTTGCACCGCGATATCGCGGTACTTAAGTTTTTCTCAAATTTATTTTTTACATTCATTTCGATAGCGTTATTATGTTGTTTTGTTTTTCTTTCCAACAAACTTTCTCATCATCTCAATATTATTGAACGGTTTTTATTGTTATTCAATATATCATATTTTTTAATTTCATTTCAACTGAGTGAGAATTATATAATCTAAAATTAAAAAATAAATTGTTTTCATTTTATCGTATTGAATACTGTAATAATAGAGAATTGATAAATTATCAAATTTCCTGGCTGTTATATTTATAGATCAGTGATAAATTGATAGCATTATGTATGTCCAATTCTTCTAATAGGAATGCTGATGAATATGATAGATGCTGATGAATATGATAGATAATCACTTCAATTCTCCTTTTTTTCCGGTTTCTCGAACTAATGTTCTTACCGATTTTTCGTATTTCGGCTTGTATATAAGTTAAAAGTTCTACCGGCACGAAACTTAACTATTTTGTGTATGATCAGAAGTAAACAATTGTAAGCATGAATAAATGCGAAATGTTGAAATGCATGATAAAGAACACAATGAAGGTGATTTTTTTGTTGTAATATAATATGAAGTAGATCATAATGATCAATAAGCTATATTGATTGATTCTAAGGTACTATTCAAATTTAAAGTATCGCTTGAGGTTACAATATACCTCATTGATCTTATTTACTACACTGCAATATATATTGCCTCAAAATTTTTAAAAACTAAAGCAAAAAATTTTCATGAATTTTTCAAGATATATAATTTGATGAATAAAATCATTAATTGACCTAATTTGAACTAAGCAAAAAGATGATATTATATGGAAACCATGAAAACATTATTGCTATATACCTTCTGATTTAATAAAGTTCAAATTATTTGAAATAATTTAATTAGCAATGTTGCAAGGGTTTCAATTGATAAATCAAGTTAATTTTTGAACTAATCATATCTTATAAATGAACAACTCAAACCATAACTCAGTAATTTCAATCTATTCTAAACTTCTAATTAAACCTTTTTTCCTCAAATTTTTGGAGCTAAGAGTGTTATAAAACAAATTTTTTAATTCACATGCATTTCTGAGAAAGAAAAGCAATAAATATTGAGATATGAAATTTTGCTCAACGATATCGTGATAGTTCAATGACTTACCCTCAAATCTACTGTTGATACGGTACCGTCTGCATTCAAGAATATCGTCCTTAAAACACTCAAAAATACCCATCCCTTCCTGATTGTCCAAAGAGTTGCATAACGCTCCAGCTATGGTTAGCTGCGCCGCGTATAATAATTTTCGGCTTAATTAGCTCGTGCTTTTTCGTAATTTCACTTGTGCAAATATAATGAATGGTGTTGGGGTATAGGAATGTTTAGTGAGGCTTCGGAATAAATTTAAATAAATTATTTTAAAAAGTTGAATCCCGGAGATGTGTTTAGATTTGTGCAAGTGACTTTAGTTAAAACACATTTGTAATAACACTTCGATATTTACGTTCATTTATCTCATTTCGATAATTCAATTTATCAGAGTTTTTCTTTTTTTATTTAGGTTTACTATTTTTACAATTTTTCAGATATGGGGAAAAAGCAGCATCAAAAGGATAAGTTGTAAGTTGTTTTCTGATTAAATTTTGCTAAATGAAAACACATCGATACTTATTTGCCAAGAATTTAATGTGTAACCGTTGCTTCTTTGATTCTATTCGTTTTATTTTTATTCCATTTTATGATTATTTTGTTGGTTTCTTTTCACTCCAACTAATTATGCATTCAGTCTTAAGCATTTTTTTTTCAGGTATTTGACAACTACTGAGTGGAAAGAAACTTATGGCGGTCACAAAGACGGTATATATTTTTTTTTTCTTAAGCAGAAAGTGACAAACACATCTAAAATGAATTGATTTGTTTGGAATGAGAGTATTTCATGTTGAAGTTAATTGTTTGAAAGCTTGAGCCAAGTTTGAAGTAACATTAAAGTCGAAAAGAAAGTGTAGTAGTATTTTACAACTTTGAAATGATAGAAAAGTTTTGTGAGTATTGTAATTTTCACTTTAGGATTATGAGAAAATCTTACAGATGTCGGTAGGCGCATGCAACGAGCATTGTTCAAACGTCTGCCAATTACACATTGCTCTCTATCATTACTGCCATTTGAGGATCCCGTTTGTTCACGAGACGGAATCATTTTTGATTTAACGTATGCATAGACTTCTATTTTTAAGTAATAGTTTCCAAATCTTAACTTTCGATCTAATTCTCTTTGAAATTAAAATATTCAGGAAAAAACTGGTGTTTTTTCATTTCATCACTTTTATGTGAAACATTTTCTCTCCTCTGTTCTAATTATTTTAGCGCCATACGAAAGCTACAGACTCTTCTATTTGTTCACCAATTTTGAAAATATAAAAACAAACAAGAAGTGGAAGAAATAAGAAAAATCATTTTTTTTTCAACACTATATAATCTTTTGTTAAAATTTTTTCCAGACAAATTATTCCATACTTAAAAAAGTATGGTGTCAATCCCGTAACTGGCAAAAAAATGACAACAAAAGAGTTGATTCATCTGAAATTTGACAAAGATAGTGATGGTAAGAATTACTTTTTAAGCACTTGATTACTTTAAGTTGAAAATAATATATTTTTTAAAATTCACACCAGAAAATGGATGGTAATTCTCTGGTCCTGTTTTACAGTTAAATTTTTGCTAACCAGTTATTGAGTGAGGATATGCTTTTTTGTCTAGGAGAATTTCGAATCGATCGAAGGAAAAGGAGGTTATGGGAGAATATTCATAGATTAGGACTAACTGATATGCATCCATTTGCAGCACGCGTAATGTATGCTGCATGGAAACCACTCAAAACACTTTTGTATCTCCAAGATAGGAAGGTTGTGTATTTTCAGGTAATTTTCGATGTCCTGTTACGTTTCGTGTCTTCACACCTACTAGTCATATTGTGACCATCTGCCAAACAGGAAATGTATATTCACTTGAGGCTGTCGAAGAATTGAACTTGAAACGCGGACATTTGAGAGATCTTCTAACCGATGAACCATTTCAAAGGAAGGATATCATTACTCTCCAGGCATGGCAACTTTTAAATTCATTTTACATTTTTATGACAATGTTAATACTCAGAATTTTTGAGGTTTATTTTAAGATGAAATCAGCGGGCACCATAGGACTTATCTTCGGCTTTGTAGTTAACAATGTTATAAAAATGTATAATAAAAAAAAAAACTTCTGGAGTACATTTCTTTTAATTCTTCGAGATTTTCTGCTTAACGCACATCAGCAAATCTCTAAGGGACAGGAAGTCGATCAAGTGAGGAAATGGGTCCAGATGAATTAATAGAAATATCTATTTGGTGAGCTTCCGTGCACTATATGTATATAAATTTCCTTAACTTTTTTCAGGATCCAAATCACTTGGAAAAGTTTAACATTGAACAATTTCACCATGTGAAACTAGATTTAAAGACGAAATCTGAAATTGAAGCTGAAAAGAGAGCCATGGAAGATCCGAAATTTTATATCCGACGAATGAATAATGAAACTAAGGAAGTTTTGGAAAGGCTAGCGAAAGAATATGTCCCGGCAGTAAGTTTAGGAGGTGTTTCATAACTTGAAACTGGTTCTGTTGAATAATAGTATAATGCTGGCGATTGAAAAGTCGAAATGAAATCCTGAATAAGAAAGAAATTTTTATATGTGCATTATTCATAAATACCAAACTTAATCAATTTTTTTCTTAAAAAATGAAATTTCATTTTTATATTTATAAAATCCAGACGTTATTCAGAAAAAAGAAGAAATAGAAGAGGAAGAAGCAGATGAAATTAATGCAGCACATTACAGTCAAGGTCGCGTAGCTGCAGGACTGACGTCAACGACTATGGAGCCTGTAACACGCCAGAAGGCAGCTACACTTGATGCTGATACCGTTAAGTAAAAATTATTTACATATTTTAGTCTCTAAAATTGAGAACAAATAACTCATTGCAATTTTTATAAGTTCTGAAGAAATTTTGGAACATGATCCACTTCAACAATTTTACTCTTCCAATTTCGTATATATTTCTAGCCACTTTTTGTTTTAAGATATGCAAGGGTAAACAAGAATGGTTATGTAAGAATCGTAACTAATTATGGTGCAATAAATCTTGAATTATATTGCAAAGACGTTCCAAGAACTTGTGAAAACTTTATCAAGCACTGCAGAAATGGTTATTATAATAATACCAAGTTTCACCGGGTCATTCGGAACTTTATGGTAAAATTTCAGAATCTTCCGTCATAGTTCTTTCTTGTAAATTTAGAGCTTATTACCAGTTTTTATGGCTCCATTACAAGTGCTGTAGTATGATTTTTGAATTATTACTGTTAGTGAAAGACTTGTAAGTGAAGTAATATTACTGAATAGAATTTTAATGTATGTGAAAGAAATCGTAAAATTCGCATATCATTTAGATGCAAGGAGGAGATCCGACAGGTACTGGCAAAGGGGGTGATTCTATTTGGAAAAAGCCTTTTAAGGATGAAATCATATCATCCCTTAGTCATAATCAACGCGGCATACTGAGTATGGCAAATCAGGGAACAGATACGAATAAATCGCAATTGTAAGTATCATGAATCTTTTGAAAAATATTCCTCAAACTCTTGATATATTGTGCACTTCAAGTTAGCAGGCATTGTGAGTGTCATGCATTTTATCAAATAGCTTTATAAACTAACCACTTATCTGATTTTATCTGTTCTTCATCATACTTTTTTCAGCTTTATTACTTTTCGGTCATGTAGTTACCTGGACGGCAAACATACTATTTTTGGGCGTGTTGTGGGCGGTACCGGAACATTGAACGCTGTTGAAAAGATAGAAACTGATGAAAGTAACCGTCCAATTGTAAGTTTTTAATCTCCGTTTGAGAGTTTCGTATATGTGAACAGTATGTGATTTGAATACCGTACTTATTTTTCAGGTAGATGTGATTTTTCTCAATTCAGAAATTTTTGTTGACCCTTTCGAAGAGGCTGAAATAGCAGTGGAAAAGGAAAGGGAAAATATTCGCTTAGCGAAAGCTAGTCAAGAAAGTGGTATGATATGAATTTAGCTACTTTCTAAATTCGAGTAAAACATTGGAATTCCAGAAATTGTTATGAGAATTGTTTGCATAGAATTATTTCACGTTAAAAATTGGAATGTATCCAAATTATCAAAGCACATGATTTGATCACTTCTTATATGAAATAGGAGGATGGTAATTCATGATTTTCAGAAATAGTAATAAGTGCGCCTGCTGCAGTAACACAAATTCCAAAACCGAAGAAATATGGTGCGGGCGTCGGAAAGTATATAAATTTGCCAGAATTAGCCGCCGCGACGAAGCGCATGGCGAACGACATCGCTGAATACGACATAGCTAAAAAGACTGTTAAGCCAAATCAGATTTTTGGTAATTTTTCATCCTGGTAAAAAATTGTTTGAGCTAGAGCTTCCGGAGAATTTTAAGACGCTCCATTCATTTATGAATGACATAAAGGGCCAAGGAGAACTGTAGATAAAATCATGTAACGTATGAAATAAATTCTTAATGCTGAAATAGTTCATGGAATGGTGCATTTCGATTCCATGAAAAGTGCCTACACAATAAAATATAAATGAAATGCATGAGCCATTAGTCTGCAATCATAATTTATTCACAACAGATGTACATGGATTAAACGAAGAAAGTAAAAAAGAAAAATCAGAAATTTAACCGAATGTAGAATGATAATAAAATTTTATGAGAGGATCAAAAAGACACAGTCATACCGTGTTCAGCGTCCATACACAAAACGTAATACAAGAAAGGAGCACATAACTTTCAAAACTACCACTTTTAAAAGAATGGAGAGAAAAAAATGAAAATATAAGATTACGTAATGTGTGACACTACGTGAGGTACTAAGTGCACTCATCGTTTTTCGCCAATAAGTACTATTATGTACATAGCAAAAATTGATTTTGAAGTAACTACCTATACAACGAAAACAAAATGGAATTTCCGAGAACAATTTATCGTACATTAAATTACGAATATCCTTTTTGTTGGCAGTTTACGATCAGAGTACGTAATACTAGTATTGTTATAGTTCTGTTTTGGAATTAAAGCAAATACTTATTGCATAAACCCACATATATTTTAGCAAAAATTCGCACTATTTACTGCATAACGTGAATTAATTCTTACTTTTGCTCAACGGCAAGAATTCATGTCAGCGAATAACCAACCGTCTGAAAGGATACTCAAAAACCAATAAAATGATGCTTTTGCTGAACAAACTAACCATTTATTTCGCTTTTCCTACTCATTTTATTTGCTGAGTATGCATGTAAATTTGTTGCACTTTTTTAGAAAAATGATAGGAAGTTTAAAGAAGAAAAATTCAAAGCAGCAAAAATGACATCATCCACTGCCTACGTCAAAAAATTACAACACTTGAACTCGTACACGGTGGAGATAAATAGGGAATAAGACCATAAAAAATTAACGAACACATCCAATCCGTTATAACTGGGATTAACTAAAATGAAATCTTAACTCTGAAGTTAAATGAAAGCGATCTTACCAACTGAAGAAAAACACTATGACCTGAGGGAAGCAACAAAAAGTGACCACTGCACACATCTGTTTTTTTTGAAGTCAGTTTTTTTAAAAAGTAGACAAGTCGAAACATGTGGTTTAAATTGCACGAACCAATCCAATAAAGCTGGGAGTTCATCAGAGTCCATCACAGTAATAGCACTCAAACTTTCTGCCAAAATTTTAAAAAGCTGCTATCATCCATGTTCTACAAAATTTTCAGCATAACCTGATTATCAATTTTTTCCATTCTCTTTTTTACGTTGCCATATCTTTGCCATTTTCACCCCGATTTTGAGGGATTTCACCCAGATCATCTAGATTAGTTTTTGCCATTTGATTTTCCATTTCAGCCATTTCCATTTCTGCCACACATTTTTTGGCTTCTTCATTAGCGACTGAAATTAAAATGTTAAATTTTCCATCAGTGGCAATGAAGAAACTAAGTAATGCCGCCATCACCTTTCCTAGTGTCAAAGTATTCAGAAAAAAACAAGATATATACAATTTGCAACTTAACTTATAAATATTTCAATTTAACAAAATTCCTGCTGACCTGCTGATAAAAATTCGTCGTACTCATCGCTCACATCATCATTATCCAAGATCATGTCATTATTATCCAGTTTACGAAAGCTCTCTTCTAAGAAGGCTCGTTCTTCTTCGGTTAGTGGCTGTCCATCGGGCCCAATGATGAAACTGGATGAGCAGGACGGCGTTAAGCCCTGATCATTTTCTCTACGGCCCTGCTGAAACCATTAAACTTTATACCAATTTGATTTTTTCAGAGAACATTTGAGGATATTTTGACTCTGTTTTTATAAACTTAAAGAACAAATGAATGATTTTTCTTTTTCCAAGTTGATTGAGATAAGAATATCCACTCACATCAATAGCTGGTTTTTCTTCTTTATTACTTCGAAAATTCCTCACATCCCATTTGTTCTCGCGCCATGTATTCAAGCTTAGTATTTGTTCCTTTACAGAGCTGAAAATCACTTCTCGAGATCAGTGAACTTTAAAAGATAAGTAAATTCTCTATATAGCAAAAATTATGCTTATCCTCTAGATGCTTTCCAAAAATAATTGATAAACATAACACTCCTGTACTAACACGAGATGACAAAAAGATAGAGAACAATAAAACTGTTGGGAACTATTGATTTCTTTAAGAAGATAAATATAATGATAAGAGGAATTTCAGGCTGGTCTATATTAATTTGTCAGCTACATAATTGTTTTAATTGTTTTGCAATTACTATCAACTCCACCGTGCAAGCAACGGTTTGTTTGATTGGGAATTCAACTAGTCTCTACAGGAATGACATCAAACCTTTAAAGAGAAGTTTCTAAAAAAATGTTTTACCATGCTTGCTGTCATCTGTTTTTCTCATGTTATAATTGTAGATGCTGTTATTGAACCACATTACTTCGGGAAAAATTAAACAAACAAGTAATTAAACAAACAATAATTAAAAAAACATTAACATCTATATTAGTAACTATGGTCCTTACTCGCTGATAGCTGGATGTGCTTTAGCAATAGCATTCAGCTGTGTGAGAATCTCGTTAATTTTTGAGGTTCCTTCATTGGTATCCAAATAACGACCAGTAAGCTAGAATAAAAATCTCTTAGAAGTTCCAAAATATATAAAAAGCCCTAGATTCAAATCAACTTATGATTTTCATTAATAACTTAATAAAAGAAAGAGATTTTATAGTAGATTAGTATACGAGAGTTCACAGTATACGAGAGTAACTTGAAAATTTTGATTAGAAATAACCTTAAGCACTTCTACTACCACTTTAACTTTCGAATCATCCAAACGGTCAGCCACTAAGACTTCCTTGATTTGCTCTACTAGCGCGCTCTCAAAAGCCTGCATCTGTGAGCTTGTTTTCTGAAATTCAGATTGAATTGCTGAAAAATAATTTCGTTTCAAATCAATTAGTATAGAAAAAAATTAGAATTTAATAATAAGTATTTAAAGCTTACCCTTTTTTAAATATTAATATCAAATGGTGCGAAAGAAGTAAAAGACTCTATTGAAACTCAATTCAAATTCTATGATAATAAATGAACAAGGGTCATTTCAACCCTGTCGTGTGAAAAGTCGAAGGTTAATATGAGAAGAAATGATACATATTGTAAAACTTCTCATAAAAATAAGACAATGTTAGAACTGAAGAAAAACAACTTGCCGACTCTAATTTTTCATAAATCTCTGCAAAAAAAAGCAAAAGATTCTTTCGCTGTTGATCACTGAGATTAGATCTTTGTTCTTCGTGGAAGCTTAATAAGCTAGCAATCATATCATCTTGGAAAGTATGCAGATCACGACACAAAAATGAACATAATTTTGCCAAATTGTATTGCACTGTCTGTGATGATGATGTAAAAGCTGCCTAAAAATTACAAAATCAAATTCCATTTTCAATTTACGAACATCTGGTGAACAGCCTTTACAGTTCTCTAGTAATCGAGCATTTTTGCGTAGGTCGATGTATAAAATTGGTATAAAATCGATGTATAAAAATGTCCTATACAACCTACAGACAAACAGCCACTTTTGGATTCTGCATAATGCTTCTTGTATTGACCTTCCATCTACTCACCATCAACTTATTTTCGTCTAAGTTAATTTCGAAAGGACATCCTATTTCATCAAACTATAGTCTCGAGAGTCCAAAACTTTCATTTCAGTTTTATTTCGCAATAAGCTTTGTATCATTTTTTTAAAGAAATAATCGCCTTAAGCAGAAATCGCTTCGCTTTAAGATATATGCATCAAATATCGACAGAAAAGTAGTTGGCATATATAACAGATCTCCAATAAGTCAATTACAGCCTTATTCATTAATTTGAAGAAAAGAGGACAACTCTAAAAGTGATAAAGAATTCTTACCAATTGAATAATCATTTCAACCGTTATTTTCAACGCGTCAATTTTGAATGACGGATTTGCAGTACGTTCCCTGATGGCATTCGACCAGGTTTCAAATTCACCCGGCTCTAATATTAGCTGCTCCAAGCCGACTTGTATCTAAATTGAAACTACAGCTCTAAATTCCCGAAAATTTACAAATTATATGAAGCGAAATTTCTGCTTAGTCTTTTAATATAGAAATGAGTCAAAAGTTGAAAAGCACTTAGAAAATTTGGTCAAATTATTTTCAGCTCATGTAATTATCGGTTCTACTAAGGAAGTTTTGAAGGAGAGATAACATTACTATAATATATTAAGGAAATAGTTTAATAGGCTAATAATATGAGAACGAGGCTCTCTTAATAAACATTCTGTGGTTCCATTCAAAAAATACCAGCATCGCACTAGCTTATATTGTTTATATTCTTGAAACTACTTAAAGAGACGTTTTAAAAAGTACACGCTAACTGCATGTACCCCATCCGAATGGCTGACTGAATTATATTCCTCTGCCAAACCAAAGATTTTCCTCACTGACCCACTGAATTAAAATGCTAATATCCTTGGTGTCTTGCTATCCACAGATTTCAACAATTATTCTAAGTGATTAATGTTATTAAATTTGAATATATATATATTTTTTTTCCTGATTTTGTATTTTCTATCACTGACTGAAAAATTAAAATAGAACGGTCCTAATCAAAACAATCATGGATATAGAGGTATAAATGAACAAACAAGCTCAAATATATGTAAAAACCAATAACATATAAAGCAAACCTCCTGCAATTCTTTGGCTCGTTCATTGCATAGCATTCGTTCGCAGAGAGCAGGTGAAAGGTTAGCTTGCAATCCGTAATACCCAAAGTTATTACCATAACCTAATTCAGCACACAGTGTTTCCGCATCATCACCATTTGCTGGTGGTGGCTCCATGTATGGAGTGAACATTGGAATCTCTTGCGAAAACTATAATAACGATTCCCAATAAAACAGCTCAAAATTATATGATGAAAACCCTATAAATGATTATTCGAATAATCATGATTAAATTGGTACTGATCAAAATTAAACAAGATGAATCAAGGTAAATAAACCGTTGCTACATTTTATGAGCAGTAAAGAAGCATGCGTGTAGGAGCAATAATTATAATCAATTTGTAATAAACGACTAATTACGACAAAGAAAATTTCGAAAATAGATCCTCATACTATAAGTTGAAATAGAGAATAAAAAGATTTTTCTTTCTTGAGGTTAGAGATAGGCAGCTATAATTTGTTTGCCGAGAAAGGCAAAAATAATCATAAAATTATCACTGACAATTGTCGTCGTACCAGTCACTAGATGATGTGTACTTTCACACCACTTACATACACAATCGTTAAAAATTCTTATTAATGCTTTCCCTTCCTCTGTTCTCCTGCACCCTACAACTCTCATTTTACTTACAGCATTACACCTAATGAATTTCATTTTTCTTCCTAATAACGTTTCTATCACTACAGATTATACACTAGTAAACCATACGCAACTAAAATCTATCATTCCTGATGGATCATTTAGAAAAATCTTGCCACAAATCAGTTCCCTTTAGCTGTACAAAATTACGCTTTGTTCAGATAAAAACACCCAAAAATTTTCTCTGGCGCTTTTCTTAAACAAAGCGAATGTCATAAAATTCGACAGAAAAGTTCCAACGAAGATGAAGTCGGTCTTCATGATCTTTATGAACCTATCAATTGAATCTGGTATGCACGGAATAGTGAATTCGAAATCTCCTAAATCTAAGACACTCATCTTAAAGCGTTCACATAGAAATTAGTGAAGACCGATTAACGGGTTGTGCTATAAATAAGTGTTCATTCAAAACTATCCACTTATAAAAAGGAATAGGAAGAGAAAATTACGTTAAATCCATCCTTTCCATTCTAAACCAACATTTTCGAGAATACACGAAAGGTTTTCTATTTAACTTGTCCATGAAACTGTCTGTGTTTAGCTTATATAAAAAATATATTAAATTTAAATCTTGTCTGTAGTCTCATGAAACTTTGAGTTTAGCAATGATTGGATCGGGTTGAACAGATGAGATAAATTAAATGGGAAGGCTGAACAAGAAGCTATTAAACAACAACACATTTTCCTTTTCGCGCATTAAAATTAAAGAAAACAAAAAATAGAGAGATGTGATTGTGCAAAATTTTTCTAAATTACAAAATGGACTGTGGGAAGCTCTAGCAGAAAAAGATAGGAAAAATGCATAAATCTGAAATATTAAATAAAGAGCATCTGTAGACGAGCTTGGCTGGTATAATTACATACACAGAGAAATGGAAATGGCATGATTACTCGACTCATTCGCACTGCCCTAGCATCCAGTTACCCCGTCCCATTCAACAATTTGGTGCGCTAAATCAACCCTTCTCATTCCCATTACCAAACCACTCCGTCACAAATTTCGATAAAATCACATCACTAAGTCTCTTGATCTATGCCCGCTTATCTCTTTTCTATTGTATACGATAACAGTCAAACAACTGCGCAAAGGAAGAATAATAAAACGAATCTCTTAATCCAGAGAAAAAATAAGATAAATCATCCATCTATCACAATACCATTCATGTCTTCCCTCTTCCACTGCTCTTGATGTCATTCCAACGGCAGTAGTCCATCACATCATTCTAATGACACTATATCGATCCAAATGAGATTTTAAAAGAATATTTGCTCAATCCACACAGAGAAAAAAAACTACAAAAACGAACTCGCAAACCGACTAAATGAATTTTGTTTGATAGCATAAAATTAGCCAATATGATTTCTAAGTTTGTTGTGGTTTTCATGTATATTTTCTTGCGCCACTAAGGCAAACAAATTTCATAATTAGAACCAATCCACTGAATCATCTGAATCTCCAGTGGGTTAACAGTGCAAGGAGTTTAAAGTTGTCAAATTTGACTCCATACAGAGTGTAGTTTTGCGAGACTTGATTGCTCTGAGCTCAATTTTCATAACTATATAAAACATTCATGAATTATGACTGATAATATTGATTCCAGTTCCTTAGTCAATAAAACCAATTTGTTTTACTTACATTTCTATATCACAACGTTGATAAACTTGATTTTCAAGTGAAATTATTCCAGTTTCCAAAATTACAATAATTTGATTCAAAAGTATTTCGAAAAAATATAATATTTTCTCGGTTGCAGAGCAATCGAAGTAACTGTGAAAAAATCAAAAGAAGAAAAACTTTACAAAGCAGGCAATTACCATGACAAGATCAAGAGAGGAAAAAGAGTCAATTACAAAAAAATAAACGAAGCAAGCAACATGACAAATTAAAAAAGTGATTCTAGTATCAAGGAATTTGATTAACAGAAGTCTGGTTAGCAAATTTCTTTTTTGCACCATTATTCGAAGCAGTGGAAATTAAAGTGACTAAATTCATCAAATTTTAGTTATTAAATTTTATTTAAAAGTGAATCTCAAACAAACTTGATAATCGTAAGCATTGGCTGGGCAGTATCCATCGTACATTGGAGCATTTACATAAGATGGAATATCATGCAAGTGATACTGAAAAAATTTTTGAAGAAAATCAATGAAACTAAACCGAAGAATGGAAAATAAAATTCCAAAAGTAATTCCTTTGCCATCGTTGAAATCAAATATGCCTTCTTTCTTTTTTGGGATTGGGAGAGCTTGAATTTGAATATCAGGATACTGCTCTAGGGCCGCATCATGTGATGTGTATATAATTGAAATCATATATGCAACGCATAGTTAAACATTTCTACAGATAATATTGACTACTGGATCTTTATAAGCTGGTATCATAAATTTTTCAGAAGAACTGCAGCCCAGTTAACACATAAATTTGCTAAATTTACTGTTTTATAAGTTGGATATTGAGAGGTTTAGCTTAAACTAAACTATATCATTTAATGGAGGAAATCGTGTCATAAGATTAAACTTATCGAAGCTCAATGCAGACAACATACCAAATATGCAGGATGAAAAGATGGCGCATTCGGATTAAGCTGGAAAGTACCATTATGATGAGAATTCGTCAGTGACTGCCGATACTGAATTTGCGAATTCGGTGACCCATACACATCTGAAATATTAGGAAAGAATTTCGTACATTTAGTCTTTTAGTGAAATGAAACTTTGAATAAATTTCTCAATTCACTACAATCTACCCTACGTAAATGATATATTCTGCAAATGTAGACTCGTAACGTATGAAAAAAATTTTCAAGACTGGAAAATAATGAAAGGATATTACGATCTGTTGGCAGTAATTTTGAAATGGTCCGATAGACATTCAATGATGCTGATATTCAGAACAAACGATTTAGAATAGTCAGGCTTAGAATCCTAATAATATCAGACTTATTAAATTACAGTTGTCATAATTACTCTACAGCTGATAAATCCATCCCTGAATGTCCTCTATAAACCAGAACACATAATGTGAACAGCATTGTCTATTCAAAGTCAATATATCAACGTAGGCAATCCTGGCCATTTTCAGGCTCTTTTATAAATCCTCAATGGGCTTCCTACTTTATCCATTCCTTGTTTTATTGATCCCACGGTATTAATATATCATGAATTCCATCATATGAAATCTATTGTTTTAATGCACCATTAAATCACATCTGACCCTAAGTGTTTCTGGCAAGCATTATTTAATTTTATTTTTTGGAACTTAAATATCTCTCTCACATGCAGTATATCCAGAGCAGTATGTCATAAAGAATAGATAGAATAGTGCATTGAATGGAACATACCGGAAGAGATCGAGTTCATCGAAGGACGAGTATTTTGTTGTTGAGATGCTGGATTTGACGGTAGAATATTATGTTTATGTGATGATGGGGCTGTGTTGGTGGTTGTCGTCTGGCTGTATGAGGAATGAGAATAATCGCTCATTTTCCTTGCAATTCGTGACCTTTTATGGAAATAAGTAAAAATTGTGATAAATAGCACATATTACGAGCAATGGAGAATGGAAAAAAGATATGAGATGGGAATAATTGAATCTTTATCACCGAAGTGAAAAATTTATGTGTCATTACCGAGCATAGCAAGCCATGAATGAATAAGCGTCAATAATGGATTTTTGAGAAATTAAAACTTAAATACAATAGGATTTATTCAAAAACCAAAAAATTAACCAGTTAACCTGGAACTAACAAGTCCACAGAGCCAAGCTCGGAAACCATTTGATGAACACAACATATTACGCAGCTAGGTACATATGACAATGCTAAATAATTCCCAGTTATGGTGTAGAACTCATGAATTTACCCTCTAAAGCTAAGATAAAGCAAGATAGGGTAAGTTATTGAGCACTGTTGAGCAACAGTTCAAAATATAGTAAGTGACAGGGAGAAACAGGACGAAGGAAAAATAGAACGACAGACAAAACAAATGACATGAGAAGACTTAGTATCGATTCCTTCCAACATCAACCAATATTTTAGGTAACTACCGTTTTCTGCAGATGAAAATCATAACATAAGCATCTTACAGGTGAAGAAAACTTCCCCAGCTCAACTAAAATGAGTGATGCTTGATAAGTCTCCTGAATTAACTGCTTTTCCTCCGAAAATTGAAAAGTCTTTGGAAAAAAACCAAATTCAGTAAGAATTTAAATATCAGGAATAAAACAATATGAAGATTTTTTATTTGGATTAATTCCTAATATGAATCAGTCAAATCGAGAGAGAATCAATAATTTCTATGCTGCAAATGAAAATAGCTGCTAAATGTCCTGGACGAGCGATTAATCCTACAGAACCTAATAAAGGATTCGGGGTTAAAGGAACAAGAAATGCCAACTGCAGACTGCTAAACAACATCCACATCAGTTGAACAATTCTTGACCTTTTCTGTGAAGTAGTATTTGACGGTCCGACCAATATAGAATTATTGGGAGCCAGTCTAGAATTATTCATCGCTCATGTTAAGTATTGGGTGTTCTCAACACGATTCGTGACGTGCCTTACGGGTTTTGTCATCTTGCTATGTTGTGAAGTTTGTTGAAATTGTTAATCACATAAAACTAAACGAGTTAGTGTCATACGAACACGTAGACTAGTTAAAGTTGAAATTTCATGGATGTAGATTAGACTAGTGAAGTTGAGATTTCAAGCATGTGTAGACTGTAGTCAAAGTTGAGATTTGAAGCGCGAATGTGAACTAAACAAAGTTGAGACTTCAACGATATAGACTAGCCGAAGTTGAGATTTCAGATAAGAGTATAGACAAAGCGAAATCGAAATTTCAGCAGAAATAAAGGCCGTCAGAATTGAAATTTTAAACAGGAACTTGGAAAGTGAATGAGTTCAAGTAGTAAATGCGCAGTATTTCGTTTGATAAGATCACATAGGCGGATTGAAATAATATTGGTGCTATATGGAATGCGTTTTGTGAAAACGAAGTGGTGAAGATTGACGTGAGATTATTGTTGCATTATAATTTGCTTTCAGTAACGTCTCGAAAATGGAAAGCACTGATGTTGGATCAACACAGATTCTACATAAGGAGATCAAAGCTTTGGCCAATGAAATAAGAACTCTGAAGGATGTGAAGAGAAATGAAAATTTGGTATCAATTAAATAGTATACGTATACTTTCCTCATGAGTCATGATATTCACATCCTATGTAACTAAAAATATAAATCATAGTAATTTGAATGTTTAACTCCAGAAGGCGTAGTCACATGGTGAAAAATGGAAAGGGAAATTCGAAATCTCGGGATATTAAAGCGTAAAAGTGTAACAGACAATATTTTAAGAATAGCTTCTCAAAGCATGTAGTCCCAATATTTCTGCAAAGAGATATTCACTCTTTTAATTAGATTTCCTTATTTTTTTTTCCCAGCAAACTTAGTCTATCAACTGCTGTCCACGTGCATAAATCATAAAGTGAAAATATCTTTGTCAGAAATTGCGGAAATTTAGAAAATTTAAAGTTGAATTCTAATGTTGATTGTAGAATTAATGCTTCTTATTCAATGATTTCTCTGATTTGGAAATGGTCCTATAGTTTTTAATGCTTATAGTAAATAAGTCTGTTCATTATTAGAAATTAGATGGCTAGGTTTTCTTGTCATTATAAAGAGAGAGAGGAAAATTTCTGTAATTAGGAGTATTTCTGTAATTCTTGAAAATAGAGTCATTTGTGCCTTATGATTATCACTTTCAAACGAAAGTTATCTCTAAAAATTTTAATGATCTTGCAATGTTTATGCATATTTGATGATAAAGTTCCACTTTTATGGATATGTTGCCGGAATGATGTTCAGTGACAGGTTATTGATGTTATTTCAGTAATGGGCTACCGGTATAAATTTCGGTGTTTCGGTAAAATTCAATATGGACTGTTTTTAAAAAAATAGAATGATTTTTAAAGATTTAATTTGCCGAAAAAATTAGCTGATGAAGAATTCACAGATTTTCTAGATTTTTGACATGAGGGAAACTGATGCGAACACAGTAATTGTCAAGTAGTACACATTTGTTATTGATGTTACCTATTGCGGGACGTCGGCTGCCAGCCTGTTCAAATTTTATCAAATTTTTTGCTATTCGAAGAAACGGAGCTGCCACTGAGGTAATGGAAATGAGTATCAGTTCGGCAGCAATTCATGACTTTTTAAAATTAATTCGATCAAATTTGGAAATTTCTTTTCTGATGACAATATGTGTTGGTAAAAGTTACTAATATTCGCAAAATCTCGGCATCTCAAATTGCCAAAAATTGTCTCATAGTTTCCGTGACTAGCTTAAATCGCTTTCTAGAGTCTGACTCGAAAAAGATTCCATGTCCCGTATAAAATATCCATCTGTTTTTGTCACCATCAATTCTTTGTCATTTTTTTAGACCATAAGATCTCTCAACATTTTCCACTAAGATGAAAATTTAATATTATAATTTCTATAAATCACTTTTAATACCACTTAATTTTAAACTCTTTTGTTCTTCGGCTATGAAAAAAATTCTTTCTGATTGCTGAAATTTTTATCAAACTTCTTTACAGATTAGAGAAAACGTCTGCACGATTGAGAAAAAACCTTTGGCAAGTCATGAATCCCAAAGAAAGTTTGAAATTCGATGTCCAAGAGGTATGTCTCTGAGTTTCCTTTTTACAACGCTAAGAAATTTCTCTCAAACCGGTTCGTTTTATTGTCCTATTCGCTTATTTCAAAAATTTCTTTTCAGGTACGCGTGATTACGGACCTCAAGATATGGCATTACGAAAGCAAGTGTTGGATGTAGTTACGAAATGCTTTAAACGCCATGGTGCCGTTACTATTGATACACCTGTGTTCGAATTACGCGATATCTTGCTGGGAAAGTATGGTGAAGAAGGTGGAAAATTGATTTATGATTTGTCAGATCAAGGTGGTGAACTTCTCAGTCTGCGTTACGATCTCACGGTATTTGTTATTGACAGCATATTATTTTTGTTTTTGATTTGTCACAGTTTTAAAGTGATGTGTTCTGAGATATTATCATTTTGTACCAACACAAGCTATTTTTTTCATGTTTTAGAGCTTGGAAAGCTTTATTATTATTATCTGCAGTTGACAGATTCCTTTAAATTCAATAGCTTCTTTCATAATTACTTTTTCGGATTCTAGAAGTTCTTTGAAAAGGTTCTATTTAATTCGTGGATTGCTTTACGACCATTTGAGCATTATGTTTAGTGAACCCTTGCTTCTATTTGTTATAATAATGATGGCAAGTCTTTTTAAAATGGTCGAAGAAACCCGTCACATTAATTTTAAATCTTAAAGCAACTTTTTAAATTCCATATACCCAACTTATTGATGTTTCAGGTACCCTTTGCTCGTTATCTCGCTATGAACAAAACTGTGATGTATCTAAAAAGATATCACATTGGAAAAGTTTATCGGAGAGATAATCCTTCCAGAGGACGTTTTCGAGAATTTTATCAATGCGTAACCACTTTTATTTTCCAACTAAAGTTTTATAGAGTAAAATTAGAGAATTTAACTAAAAGCTTGCGATCTTGACTGTATGACTGATCTTGATTTCATGCTTTGAGAGAATACGAGAAAGATCTGGGAAGTAGGTGGCTTCTTTGGTCTTGAGTGTCTTCGTGAGTTATTTCATGAATTACAAAATTTTGAGATGAAAGTACTAGAGGCGCATTTTAATTCTTCATATTTTGCTTTTCAGTTGCTCGTTTGTTCCCAGAATTATTGGTGTAATGTTTTCTTCAGGATTTTGATATTGCTGGTTCGTATGACTTGATGATTCCAGAAGCTGAATTATTAAGAATTATCAATGAAATACTGAGTGCATTGGATATTGGTGCATTTGAAATTAAAGTAAGTTTGTTGAAGTCTTAAGTATAATTGCTGTAAATTATTAGTTTTCGTATACTGTCGATTGTTACTTTCTGAAATGTGCTATGTACAGTTTTTTGGTTTCTTCTCACATTTAATTAAACTATATTATTCTAAATTGCAGGACATTAGTTCTATAATATAATAATATACTTTTTCTTGTGATAGATTACTCTGAACTAAGCTACTTGTAGAAAAAGTGCAATTCGTTCAAGTCATGTTTTTCAGTGTGTCATTTTTTTTTTAGAAATTGTTTTTAGGTAAATCATAAATTACTACTTGATGGCATGTTTGCTGTTTGTGGTGTACCAAATAAAGACTTCAAAGCAGTATGTTCGTCGATCGATAAATTAGACAAGCTTCCATGGGAAGATGTTAGAAATGAATTGTGCAATGAGAAGCATATCCATAATGATGTTGTCAGCAAATTGGAGACATTCGTACGTTTACGGGGTTTGTTATATCGCGTTCAAATTTTTAGATTGTATTTGTGGAGCTAAAATGCTTAGATTAAACAGACTACGATAGGATTCCTGCTTCCTGTGCAAGGTAAATATCGACAACATAACTTTTGGAAGAATCATACTAAAAAATGAGAGAACGCAATATGCAACTGTGCGTACCTTTCATTTTTTGTGTAAATATTCTTACCAGTTAGCAATCTTTTATCAGTATTCATACTGTTTATATTATCAACTTTATGTCTTTATGTCCCAATCTTCGATTCTTCATGGTTTTTCATTTAGGATAATGCGGTTTTCACTCATTTTTCAGAACATGATAGCAGCTTAACAAATTTGGATTTATTAAACTGGTTCGAGAAAGATGAAGCTACAATGAAAAATAATGATATTCAAAAAGCGATATTTGAAATGAAACAGCTTTTGGAATATTGTGAACTTTTTGGTATTCTTTCTACTGTTACTATTGAGCCGTCATTGGCACGAGGTCTTGACTATTATACAGGAGCAATTTTCGAAGTCGTTTTGAAGGGTTAGTTCTTATAAATTTTGTTTTTTTAGTACAGCACTAATTAATTAATGAGTCTACAGTTAATGTTGTGCGTTTAACTCTGCTATTTATATCATACTTTTAACTTGAAAATGATTGTTAATGAAAATTTGACATAAAAATAATATTAAATGCAGGCAAGGAAACTGTCAAATGAATTTTAGAGTTTTCCGAAAAGACGCTAATGGAAAATGATAATGCCGAGGAAGAAACCCGTAGTATGAATATAGGTTCAGTTGCTGGTGGCGGTCGTTACGATGATTTGGTATCAATGTTTTTGTCGAAACATAAAGTGCCTTGTGTAGGAATATCAATCGGAATTGAAAGACTTTTTACGATTATGAAAGAGAAATCAAAAGTAAGTGGTTCCAACAAGTTTCAAGAATTTCAGGAATTTAAGCCTAAATTTTGACTGGCCTTCAAAAATTTGCTTATTGCGACTTTTTGTTATTTAGATGGAGCACGTGCGATCAAAGGATACACAAGTTCTCGTAGCTTCTGCACAAAAGAAATTGTTGAAGGAAAGGATGAAGATTTGCCGGTTGCTTTGGGATAATGATATCAAGGTCTGATGTTAAATAAGTTTTAATGTTATCATTTTGGTTGACTTAGCTTACTTTTTCCGTGACTTGAAACATTTATAAATCTGAAAACTATCTATTTCTTCTAGAAAAATTCAGTTCTCTCCTTTATTATTCATTTATTTTTTGGAATTCTGAAAAATATTTCAGGCTGAAATGGCATTGAAGGCAAATCCGAAAATGTTAGATCAAATGCAATATTGTGAGGAGCATAAAATACCGCTAGCAATAATTGTTGGTGAGCGTGAATTGGAAGAGGGTGTGTTGAAATTGAGAGATGTGCCTTCTCGTGTTGAACAGGTATGATCTTGATGCGAAATTTTCCGATTAAATTTGATATTAAGTATTGCTCATTGATATGAAAATGTGGTTGTTTAATGCACTGCGAAATTGGAACATTCCAGGATATACCTCGCGATAATTTGGTGGAAGAGTTGAACAGACGGTTGAAACATCTGCAGTAATTAAGATTTGATCGATTATTGGTCTTAACTGTGTTTAAAAAATTTTTCATTTTCCGGTTTTGAAAAAATCGATCATAAACAGAAATATCCAAAATTAACGAAGTCTTATTGGTGAATTATGAATGGAATTATTTGCGGCTCGATTTTAAGTTTTCAAATAACTATGTTTTCAGTTTTTGAAGTTAGAATTTTATATTTTATTTGTCATACTTTGTTATCTTTCTCATTGTTCTTTTTTTTGTTGTGCTTGTTGGAAGGATGCAATAAAAATTATATTCTTAGTTATTTTGAAAACTGCAATATTAGTGGAACAGTGGAAGCTGAAAGAGTTAAAACAGAAAAGGATGTAACGTTTCAATTTCATGCACTAATGAAAAATAATTGATGAAAATATAAAATGGAAAGTGAAGATGTCATCTTATTAATTGATTTTCCATATGTACAGTGTTAATATCTCTGAGCATCTTGGATCATTTTCGTATACAACAAAGTATATAGGTGATCTGTTTTGAATTCTTCAATGTTTTTTGTTAATAGTTTGACTTGTCATAGCGATGTTAACATTTTTTAGTAACCCGATAGTTGTCAACATTGATCATTGAAAAACAAAAAAAAAACTAGACAGATACGATTAATATTTGTTCTTTCTTTCTTTTTCTCACACATCATATCAGAAAAAGAAAATTACAGTTAAATATTGAAAGAAATGATTTTGTAAAAGTAACCGTAAAGTGGATAGGTATCATGTAACAGAACTGGTTTTATAAACTAACCTATCTTTTACTGTTTATATGGTACTTCTATGCATAAAATATTCCAAAATTTCATTGTTGTCTCTTAGTTGGTATTGGTATTTCATTGTTGTCTCTTAGTTAGTACCAGTAATTGTTGTAAACTAAAATTGTTGTTAACTAGATTAATTAAAATTTTTACCTTCAAATTTAAAATTTTGATTTTAATTTAGGATTGATTCAAAGCATTGCATTAGTTCGGTAAGCGCATTTCAAATTTTCTTGATTTAATTCCAAAATTTGCAAAAAAAAAATTGTAAATTTTGATAACAGCTTCGGTAATATTATATTTTGTAATCATTAACAAAAACACTATAATAGTCATATTGATTGTAATTATGTAATTGATTATAACGATATCGTTATTGACAGAGAGTTTTTAATTCTTATTATTCTTCTATTTATGAGTCATATCAATTTGTTTGACTATGTTTTATTTGTATAACATAAATAATATTACTAAACAGCTTTTTTGCATAGTTTCTATCACAAAGAAATTTTGAATATTCCATAATTCTTTTGGAATTTATATCAAATATGGGATGGGAATGAAATATAATAGTAATTTTAATATCATACTACTCTCTTAATAAATAAGAGATAATTGAAATCGCTATTTTAAAATCATGATATAAAATTATGAACAATCAATCTTTCAGTTATATAAAAAGTCTCTATGAAGAAAATTATCTGATAAAGTTATATGCCGCACTTCATTATCTTCAGAATTCAAATGATAAGATTCCCTAACTTATAAATCAAAGACATCTACGACATCTATGCATATTATTTCTATTTTCAGATGAGGAACATGCGTATTAGAATCACACTCACTTTTTCATTTTTCCAGAGCAGAAAGAGCCTAAAGTTCTTGCTGATAGCCTTCTGGATTTATGCCAAGAGATGAAATTAGCAGTATCCGTTGATGAAGAACTGTC